GTCAGGCGATGGGCCATCGGCCAGTTTATGTGATAACTGAAGGGGCAACCCCGATGATGACTTTCTGGGAGATTCTGATTCATGACCATGAGCAGACGGGTGAGTTCAGTGGCTAAGTGAAATAAGTCTTAACATAGTAATTAGTAATTAACATAAATTCATGATTTTGTCCTGCAGCGACGTACAAGCAGAATAGAATGCAAATAGTTGCTTCATTTTACAAAACCCTTCAACAGTTGATTGACAATGATCCTGAGTGTCGAGATGTTTGCGAATTAGTTTATTATAAAGGTATTTACAAAAAAATTTCCAATGCTCCATTGGAGATGAAAAAAAAAATGTATAATTCTCTCTCATATTTCAGATTATGAAAAGGGAAAGAAAATTAATGTTGCGGAAATACTTCTCGGAAGGATCCAAGCACAAGCCGCGATGTTCTAATTAGTTATTTCATTCCATTAACGTTTTCCTTATTTTTTACACATTGTAATCAGCATTTGTCTTTGTTTTCTTGAAAAATAAAATGTACGAAGAAGGAATATGGGTGAATTCAATAGATTCACAGAATCTAAAATGAGAAAAATCTATCTTATTTAATGAGAAGTCACGTGTATCACGTGTTCTTGTCTTTTATTTTCCATTATTATCATTTCATGGTTTTTTTTTGTCTGAGTTGTTTCATGTTTTTTTAATTCATCTTATTGCTTGATAATGACACATAGTGAGCAGAGTGTCTCCGAAACTCGCCCATACTTCATGCATGCATGTTAAAATTCAGTTACAATGTTGGTTTAAGGTCGGATGTTGCTCTTATTCTTTACAGGTGGTCCATGGATTTTGTTGAATTTATGAGACACACTTTGAATTTTTCTATTACTTCCATTCATCGAGCTATTTAGGGATCCGAGTATATCTAGGTGCGTTACGAAAACAACATCGTATAATGACTAATTTAAAAAATTTGACTCTTCATCCCTCTCATTCTTTATAATATTGGAGTTGATTTCTATTGATTGTTATAATTTTTCCGTCCCTCTCACGACTGACATTTGGATCTATTTATAAAAATTGAATTCATTTCTTGCATTACAAAATAATAGCATCAATTTTTTCCCTCATATTGTGCATTCTTGGATGAGAAAATTATTTCATCACTCATAAAACTAAATTCAATGGACGATGGATTATCAAAATAATCAGTTACTCAAAGTTTCCAGTGAAAATCAGAACCAATAGATTTTCCCTCAAGTTCTTTCTTTATTCGTATAATAAAGATGGAAAATTGGTGAAGCGAGATCAGTAAAAGTTTTCAATTTTTTAAAATATCGATTCATCTAAAAAAAATATCAATTTTAGCGCAAAATGTCAAAAGATATTATTTACCGAAGATTCAATGAGCTACAAAAAATGTATTCAAATTTTTTCTCGGCGAGTTTGTAATTTTCGAGATAAATCGATAATTATGAAAAATATTGAATTCCACCTATGTCACTTCAACGGGCAACGAAGAGTGATGTAATTTTGAGAATTAAAAAGAGGATCAAAATATTCCAGGAAAAATTGAAAGCACATAACAAATGCATCACAGGAATTAAGCCACAATAAACACGAAATCGTGAAAATGTGCGCGAGTAAGTGTTGCACAATGTGACATCAATCCCATCATCTTAATCTATCTATTAACATAATGAACATTTGCGTGTCCAGCCACCGGCATGAGATCAATACTGTGGGAAAACGAAGAAAATAATATATTTATATAAATATACTACTAAATACAAGCCCCCAAGAGTAGTGCAATAATTCAATCTGCAAAAAAAAAAATATAACAGTCTTTGCTGCTGCTTTCACTGATAAAATCATTAAATCTAATTGAAAAGAAATTGATCAAATAAGTGGTTGTGATTTAGTAATGTGTAATCATTACAAAAATTAAAAAATAAAAAAAAACGTCTGAGAAACGAAATGAAATTTGTATTCTTCAGGATTTTTAAACAATGATAATTCAACCCCTCGTGTTACTTGTGCTCTCATCATTGAAAAGAGAAATTATCAGCAATCGAGAAAATATAAAAAAAAAAGTACTTAGAACAAAATTTCTAACGAGCCTCTAGTTTAAACGTAATAGAAGTCATCGTAATGTTAACAATATCACACACATACACCCTCGTGTATGTTCAACTTAATTTTCCAGTTAAATTTTTTTATCATCGATTATTGACTTCACGATATGTGTATTATGTAATTATCCTTAATAGTCGAAAGTGTATCGTAAAAGCGAAAAATAATAACAACAAAATAGTAAATTTAATTGACTACTCAGTCGCCTAGATAAATTAAGAGAAAAAAAAAATAGTACATCATTCCAAATCAGGTACATTATTTACATTGTTAATTTAAACAATTTTCTCGTTTGTTCGTTAAAACGCTCAAGTTATGATGGACATCAACCCATTCATTAATGCACTCATCTGTCTAGTTTATTTAAGTTAGCAGTATGATGAGATTATGATGTTTCTGGCATTAGGATTATATTATTAAACAACCCTTGTATCACCGTGACTACGACACGCAAATATTACTATTATTACGACGCTTCATTCAATCTCTCACTTTTCTTGCATTAATTTTCGTAATCACTTCCTCGTTTGCACAAAATTATTGAAACAATGGATTATGATGTACATTTGTTCGTCCGACAATTTTTCAGAGGACAAATGGATTTCAGTTTCTCATACTTCCATCAACTAAATATATATTTTTATGGATTTTCAAGAATTGAAGAAGAACACTCGCGGGATAGAACTGAGGACGTCGGAAAAATACGTTCACTCGGAAGCCCGAATATCTTAACGGAAGGAATCAATTGAGAATTCATTCAAGTACCAAAATACATTAATAATTCATTGTTATTTGTGCTCCCAGAACTGCTCCGAATGACTAGTCAGTGATCATACACTCTCCTTCTATGAATAAAAAAAAATATACATACACATACTATATACAGTAGACTCCTGTTATAATCGCGTCCATGGGGCTGTAGAGCAAGTGAATTCTGATAATTCGAGTATATGCAACTAAAACTACCCCCCGTAAATTCCAGTACGAAAGAAATTGATTTTTCGACTGTATTTTTCACATTTTATTTTTTTTTTCATTTAATTCCTCAATGAACGGAACAATGAATTGTTTACATCTTCGAACCCGGAGGTATGTGGTAGAATGGACGAACCGAAAGATACGAGAAAAAAAAATTGAGAAGAGTTGCGACTATAACGGGATTCTACTGTACATGTATATATATATATTCTTTGTTTTTTTTTAGTTTTATATCACGAGTACGATAGGTATATACAATCGTATGGTTTTCTTGAATGAAAAAAAAAATATCATCCTACTCAGTGATGATAATACAAAATGATTTTCGATCGAATCCAGAATTCGATGACCAAAAAAAAAAATTTATCTCGCTCTGTGAAAATTTTTCATATGTACCTGCAGTTTTACAGAGTGTCATAAATCAGACTCGTTTTCTTAAAAAAAAAAACATGAGAAGATATAAATAAAAGGATGAATGAATTTCCTAGGGATAAATTGCTAGTAACAATAAGATGTAATGATTGATGAAACATGCTTGCGTGGAGTAAGTGGGCGTGTTTGTTATTGGAAAATAGTTCTTGTCATGGATATTGAAAGAAATACGCAATGAAAAAACAAAACCTATAACAGAAGAAAAAACCAGAAAAAAAGAGATTTTCAAGCTTCCGTAGACGCAACAAGTGATCCTTTGGGAGTGTACGCAGTGGCATTTGGATCGAGATTTGACACGGTACATCCGGGACAGGGACTATCAGTGGCACCAAGTTTTGTACTGCCAACACGTACATCATTACCCAATCGTAATTTAGACGTAGAACATGTTGATGTCTGTCCAAAAGTATCCTGTGGCATAACAGCAAGATCCTGGGCTATTTTAGCCTTCAATATTTCGATTTCTTTCTCCTGAGATCTGATGAGACTCTCACGTATCTCAAGCTGACGTTTAGCCTCACCCAGGGCTGAGAATAAATCGAGTTTGATTCTTGTTTCAGCACTGAGACTATTCTCGAGATGTGTATTTTTCTCCTGCAATGAGCTCAATGCACCAATAATAATATCAGTCTCACCATGACTGTCTTTGCAGTGATTCAACTCCTTCTCAAGTGTCAAATATCTCTCATCTTTGACTTTGAGCTCACGCCTCAGACTCTTAAGATCCTGTTCCATTTGTGCCCGACGTGTTTTGCATGCATCAGTGCATTCTTGCCTGATTAATGGTGGAGGAGGCGGTGGTATGGATGATCTGGCTTCCTCAGCCACTCTTCTCGCACGTCTCTCTGAAACAAGTGATGCTTCACACGCTGTTCTCTGTCTACGCTCCTCAGCTATCCTTCTCTCAAGCGAGGACATTGTTTGTTTATCCAATTGCCTGGCGGTCATCAAATTCTGAAGTTTGCCCTGCAATTGGTCATTGTCATGTTGCAATTGCTGCATATCCCCCTTGGACTGTCTCTCACCATTTAATAATGTATTAACTTGTGATCTCAACTCCTGCTCCATTTGTCTACTCGATTGCAAATCACTTTTCAATTTTTTTATATCCGACTCTAATTTACGACATATTAATAACCTCTGACAGTATTCATCCTGTTGTTTCTGTTGTTGTTGTTGCTGTTGCTGTTGCTGCTGTTCGCTATCTGATAATATATTTTTTGCTTGCCTACCTCTGCGCTCTCGTTGATTATTCACTGAATTTGAATCTCGATTTTCCTTTACACTATTATTATTCCATTTTCCACAATTAGTCGTTCCATTAGATTGTGCTTTAACTGACGAATGCGATGTATTACACTTTGCTGTTTTGTCTTTCTCCATTTCACTGGCATCGTAATCATTGACTGACGTGATACGTTCAATAAATTGTACATCACTCTGTTGTACACTTGTACCATTACTGTGCACAAATCTCTTATCATTTTTCTCTGACGTTTGATTCGATGATTGGGCCGAATTGTGCTTCTGTTGGTCCTCCTGTTTCTCACCTTTGTCCAGGGATTTTCTGTGATTATTCTTCGTAGATATACTCTGTGATTGTAACGGGTTAAGTGTCTGCATGTGAGATGTATCATTCGAAATGTTACCATTTTGTAGACTCGTTTCTGCCGAACATGTGCCACTATTTCCTGTTTCAACACAGAATAATAACAATTTGTTTATTCAATTTTTAATTAAAAATTACAAAAATCTAATGACAATGACGGAAATGATGAGATATGAGGAATAAATACCTCTACTTTTTTCTGGGCTTGGATTATATTGGCTGTTCTGTTTGTTTGGCTGGGATTTGGAATTCGTCTCGGCAGTTACAAGCTGTGGTTGTAACTGCGTCTGTAATTGTGTTGTACCTGCTGTCTGCTGTTCAACCGGCAGTGCTTTTTGAAGCAACTGCAGGTAAAATTCATTCTCCTTCGCCACATCTTTTTGCTTTCTCTGAATAAAATCATTTTATTTTAAATCCAATAAATACAAGCAACAAGTGAGGTGTTGAGATATCGCTCAACTCACCTGTCTCATTCTGTAGCCAACGTAGCTTTTGAAACCAAAGCCCAATGTAACAACAGGATAACCAATGCTGCAAACAAATATTTTGGCATTTGAAAACTTTTCCGGGTTACGTGAAAATTCAATATTAGTCATGCCATGCAAATTGAATTTCCCAGTTTACGAGATGAATTAATAACAAAATAAAGGAGCTGTAAAATCTGAAAAGAAAAAAAATGGACAATTGATTGAAAAAATGTGAGTACGCACCAGTGAGCGGCAAACGGCCTACATAGATCCAAATGAAACGGCATGTGACGTAAATCTCGCAATCTCACAACAGCCTCTATGTAGAGAAATAGTAGCCACAGCATCACAGTCGGTAAACAAACGCCTTTATCTTGAAAATAATAACAAGCTTAATTTTTCGTTTGTTGTTCTCTGGTTAATGTACTTACCCGTGTGCCAGACGTATTGAACCCAAACGTAAGTACTGGCAGCAAAGAATAACCAGTGTACAGGAATAAAAAAGAAACAAATCATATCGGATGTGAGTGCGATGCAAATAAAGAAGACTGAAAAGGCCTGAAAAAAAAAATGCATTTGATATAATAATTATTAATTAGTAATTCGTCATTATCCTGGGCGTGAAAAAAAAACTAAATAATGACCCATTGAATCACTGAGCTGACACTGTTACTTGAGGGTTATATTTTTACCCACGGAATGAGCTGTGAGAGCTTGAAAAATCTACATGCAATCACTCTAGTGCATCTAGTACAACGCCTCTGTGAATAGACAGGGGGCCTAAGATCACATGGGTCAGCCAATGTACTTTAAAAAGAGTGATCTATTAAAAGATTGTTAACGTGTTCAAAAAAAAAAACACTTACCAAGCCTTGGTATTTAAATGAATCGTAAACACTTCTCAAGAGGAGCCAGAATGGCCACAGAAATTCAAAACGAAACTCTAAAATGAAGTCTGCTAAAATCACCATGGCCCATAGCATTAAAATCTTGAGATACAGGAGTGTGCTGCAACAGAAAAATCATTCATTCATCATTTTGCCTATCGAAAAATCCTTTATCATAAAAGAAGGTGAAGTAAAACGGACTACAATTTGAGAAAAACAATGATACCATCATCAATAACTGAAAGACATTTTATAATTTAAAAAAATAGGCTGAAAGCTGCATCTTAGCACACGTTCTCCCCTTTTTTATTCTCAAGTCGATAAAGTACACCAATGACTTTTCCAACTGCATCAGCCTTTTGGGGGATGCAACAGTTTGTGAGAGACTTATTCTAAAAGATTTGGAAGCAAGATTTATTTGATATCCGGACAGGATTGCATAAAATCCTCGAAATGCGCGATAATCTTTTGTTTTTTATTTAACAGTGGATGAAAAATTTTGTTGGTTATAATGGATCATAGATAATGAACAGAAGACACATTAAATACCGGGGAAACAACTCACTTTCCGTATATTCCTTCAGTAATCTTGTTACGTTTCAAGGGCCTCCGGAGCTTGCCGCACTCGGCATTTCTTCTCTTCATATTCCTCGGCACTTTTTATTACAACCTACCCAGCGTGACGGTCTTCAGAGACTGAAAAAAAAAGTCACCGTGTCGAATTAAACACACAAGAGGAAAAAATGTAAACATTCGAATAAAATCAGAGACAACTCACACTTATATTATCATGTATTATAATAATTCTTTTTGGTTTACCTTTTTAAAGGGAATTGGTGGTTATTCGATTGGAGCTGTAGCTTATCGTTTGTATCTGCCGTTTGTTTGACGTTTGCACGGTTGATTATCGATTTTCACAGTGAATATTAATCAAGTGGGCACAATAATGATGATAAAAATAAAAGATAAAAACAATAACAACTATGAATTAGTGTCTGCTCGGAGTCAGTTTGGTACCATGTATTCTCTTTTGTTGTCATTCGTCTGAGGACAGATTCGAGGTCTCACAGCGATTTACCAAGCAGCTGATTGGTCCATCGTGAGACATGGCGCTTAATAAACTTATAACGATCCTCTTGCAATATCATTCCACATTAACATTCCTCCAATTTGTAAAAATTGATAAGTAGACGATTGAGTGCCGCTAAACAGTCACAATAACTCAGGTATGTCAAGTGATTTTTTCATTCACCAAATCCAAGATTATCGACAGAGGGACTTCACCTCTCGCATTTTTTTTTTCTTGTTTATTTTTCTACCAATGTAATTACGATGGGAGCACATAAATAGCGCACACACGTGTTTTATCCACCTCCTCGATTCGTTATGATTGAATAATTTTTTATTCACTCGCGATAACTTTATCCACCGAAGTGGCACCGTTAAACACATAAAAACACTCCACCTGATCTACAAATACCCTCAAAACACGTTAGGACATGCTCACGAGCTCCCACAACTACTCAATTAGCCTCTGTTTTCAATACTAAATACACGTTAAAAACCTCCAGGTCTTCATCGATCGTACGAATATTCTCTCGTTCCTGGTTGTTCCGTCGTTCGATGGCGCTACCAATGGCGTCTTCTCCTTCTGCTCTCTCTCTTCTCTCTCTCAAATTATTATATGTGTGAGAGCGATGGATTTTCCATGTGTAAGTTACCCTTTGAGACTTTGAGGTATCACATCCAGGAACCTGCTACCACCAGCTGCGCCAGCTGGGACCAATGCACTTGCGCACTGTCACATTTATTTGTCTCAGTCATTTCAATAAGGGAAAAAAACTCAATTCCGAAGATTTTCTCTTCAAATTTTCATTTTCACTTCCCAATTCAAACTGAATATATCAGTTTTCCCCTGTTCTCATTTTGTTACCCTTTTTTATTAGCGGAAATAAACTACTTATGTTATTTTTTAATTATATAAATTATTCATTAGTTTCGCAAGTTCATTACCTTTTATTATATTCATCAACAGGAAAAATCCTTTCTTCTGATAGGAGAACGGGCTTTTTATGCGATTAATGACTTTTGATTAATCTTTCGAAACGTCGATCAAATTCAAATTCAAATTTTCCCGCGGGTCGGAGTAGCATCTAGCGGGTTTTTAATGAACTATCTTCAATTTGAAAAGTATATCTGTAACTCTGAGCTCTTCGATGCCTCAGATTCCACTGACTGGAATTTTTGACGAGCTGATTTCAAAGCCTCCGACTGCTAATTATTTGTGTTTCAACGAATTAACAGTTATTAAAAATATCTTCACAAATTTGTCAGTGATGTTTACTTGATTTACTTCAATAATAATTTAATATCGTACTTACCGTTTTGGGCGGAGATGGATTATCTGGAAAATATAATTTACTCCGAAATTTGGACTGCTAGTTACTCCGGAAATTAATATTTTTGTCCAATAATTGTTAGCTAGCACCGTAGCGGTTGTCAACAACTAGAGCGCTAGCTAACAATTATCGGAAAAATCGATTAATTGGTGGAGTAATTAGGAGTGCCAATTTTGGAGTAAATCATCTTTTCCAGGCAATCCAACCGGGCTTTAATTCCAATTTCAAAATGCGGCACTCCAGCGTAGTCAATCACTTGTTTATACACGCACTCGCGATTTATCTGATGGAGCCATATCTACTGGCATCTCGACATCATCTGATCGAGAGATAAAATCATCTCGAAAATTCAAACGCCCGAACCGACCACGAAAATTCCACGGAACGGATACGATATATTAATAAATAAATTTCACTCACCGGCGTTGGATGAAAATAAGTCCGCTTTGCATTTTCACCTTTCGAACAACTTACCTTAACTGTAAACATAAAAAAAACAAATTGTTAATGAAATTTCGACAAAATAATTTTTTTACTGCAAAGGCGATTTTTAATTTTGATTTGACAGTTTTTATTTTAAATTATTATTTAAAATTATTTATTATTTTTTATTTTAATTTTTCTTATTTTATTGGAGAGTTAATTGAATAAGTGAAAATTGTTTGTAATGTAAGCATTGAATATATCAAGAATCAGGAATGAAAAAAATGACATGAAAATAAAATGAAAATGATGCTTCAAGGTCATAAAAAAAATGCATACGAAACTCACCTTGCAGTCGGTTGCAAGATTCCCTCCAATCCTGATGATCTCTATGTGATTCTGACGCCAAAGGTTGAAGCTCACGGCTTGGAAGCACTAGCACTCGAGACAGTTCAAAAATTCACTAATCACTCACCACACAACCAAGAATGTTTTATCAACTCAAAATCCACAAAGATCAATAAAATAATATCAAAGATCAAATAATATTTTTAATCATTCAAAATAAGATGAATGAGAAAAGTAATCCTTCGAATCTAATTCGCACTCTCACTTCAGTCCGTATCTAAACACACACGAAACAATTCCGAGAAATGGACAAAGGAATTTTTGTAAACACAATGACGCCGGGCGGCCGTTCGGCAATACCGAAGTTCAGTGTAACAAACGAAAAATCTCAATCACTCAAAATGCTCTGATAAACTGTTTAAAAAATTATTTCACATCCCAAAATCACTTGCACTGAGTCCCGCACTTTGTATTTTCAATGTTGACAGGCGGTGCCGGTTTTCTGCACTTACTAGGACCCCGATGTTAACGAATTTTCACTACGCGACATGCAACCGACCGTTCCACGCACTGCCGCCGAACGACTGACTCCCCACTCAAAATGACGGGGCGTTGGAGGCAGCGCTCGAGTGGGGGGTCCCCCCCGGCGAGACTCCGCGCATGCGCACAGAACAGCGCGGGCAGTCTCAATTTGACGAGATAAGATAATTGCGAAAATTCTGAACCTAATAAATAATTCTCTCTTTAAATTCTACTGACTAATTCATTAACGGAATATTTCAAACCAATATTTAATCCATCCCGTTTCATTGCCCCTCGTTCTCACGATGATAACTTGTTTATTAATCACACTATATTAATAATTATATTATATTAATAATTTTGAATACACTAGTGCCCTCTAATAACCCATTTAAATTCAAACCTCCACTTGACTTCGGTTCCCGCCTCTTGGGGTTTTCACCAGTAGTAGATCAGAAGAAAGACTTCAGTCAACGAATTACGCATACGCCAGTTACATCGTATTTCTGCCTGTTCTAGCGTAGACTGGAATAATTTCGATTTTTTAATTCTAAACAATTAATTCACCCTGATTATTGATTACTTGGAGTGGAGGTGTTAATAAAGCAGGTATGTAGGGACTTGGAAGGGCTTTTGGGTGGCATTCGGCAGCTGTCAATCGGTGGAGAATTTTTTTAACACCTCTGGTCAGCGTCGGCAGTCATTCAGTTTAACCTAATCATCAAGTGCACGCGATACACGTTCACTTCCCTGGATTTCGTCATTGTAAATAATTTGTTGTTTTTTTTTTATTTCACAACATTTGGGCTTCTCTATTATTATTATCATTCATTTTTGTTGTCAGAAAATTGGAAAATTCTTGGGGAGAAAGTTTTCGTGGATTTTTTCAGCTCATTTGGGACTAAATTCGGAGGTTAGGATCCAGTTGCTCTGAAAATTCAGTCAGATCGACAGGTTATTCTGAATGGATGTGGAATGGGTGAAGAGTGTGGGGAGTGAATGAGGATTAGGTGAATTTGTTGGACGAAAATCTACGGGATATTCGTTTCATTTTTCAGGGTTGGGGTTTTTTTTTTTTCGTGGTTGTTTACGATCGATTGTTGATGTTGATTATTCAATGTTTATTTGCAGGTAATAATGGCCACTGTTGAATCATTGGCTGAGGCAACGGACGTGGTGCAGATACTGCGACAATGGGAGGAAGATCACACATCACCAACTTATGATCCCATTCCTACACTACAGAGATTAGCCGAGATCATAGAAGTCGAGACTGAGAACTACCTCAAGATGGATCCAGATCCATTCGATGAGAGACACCCATCGCGAACTGATCCTGAGTGTAATTTCGGTCATATACTCAAGGTTTTATTTCGTAAGGACAATTTTATGACCAAGGTAAATATTTCTAATAAAAAAAAGTATTTTTTTCCCATACGTCACAGTCGTGGCAAAATAGTGAGAACTATGAGGAAATCAATTGCAGATATGTTATGAAGTATGAAATTATCTTGACACTTGACAATTGAAGATATCTCAGATATACTTTAGAATATTCTCGTTCCCCTATAATTACTCGAAATTGTCCCCAGCTGATAAACGACTACCTCCGAGATACCTATTGGTCTCGCGCCGGAATCCAAGGTCGGGACGTTCGCAAATTGAACATAGCAGCCTGCAGATTGATGCTGGACATCCTCCCAGGACTAGAAACCTCTGCAGTATTTCAACCTGACATGGATGGCTTGATCCACCGTCTCTTCACCTGGGCAGAAAAATCAGTAGAGCCCCTTCAGAGCTACGCAACTGGCCTCCTCGCAGCAGCTATGGAGGTCCAGGACATAGCGACAGGTTTTCGCGAGCAAAACGGTCGAATGGTTCCATTGATGCTGCAACGTCTTCACAAACTCCAGGAGAAGGCACACGAGGACCGCCAGACCTCGTCTAATTCCCGTCCATTTGCCCATTTCGGTCAGAATCGAAACTCCTTCGGTGATGGTGAACACAAAGGAGTTCCAGGAAAACGAAAAGTACGAGATAAAAAGCGGGAGAATGGAATAGCAAAGAGCCCTAATGCCCTTTTCGGTTCTGAGGAGGAAGAGGCGGATAGCGCTGAAGAGACTCCCACGAAAAAGCTCAGAACAGATCCAGAGGATGCCTCAACATCAGTGAAGCCGGTTCCATATCCCGAGATAATGTCGCCACCCCAGTCAATTCCAAAATCCACCAGTCAAAGTCATCCCAACAGCCAAACAACCCCATCAAAACAATCCACCAGAGCAACTCCACCCAGATTCACTGGCACCTCTCGCTCCAGCCTTCCCAGAAATCTCTCCCAGTCCTCCTCGACCCCCTCGATGCTTCTGGAGGGTAACTCCAACTCTTCCTGGGCAGAACTCGAATCATATGTCATTGGAAATGTCCAGATTCACCCTCCAACCCTGGCCACCAGACAGATGTTGATTCTCAGATACTTAACGCCAATGGGAGAGTACCAGGAGTTCCTGGGTCATGTCTTCGAACAAAATGCCCTCGAGCTGATTCTCAAGTATATTAACGTCCGAGAAACAAAGGATAGTCGATTGGCGTTCGAAGCTCTCAAGTACCTGGCCTCCCTCCTCTGCCACAAGAAGTTCTCAATAGAATTCTTGAACGTGGGAGGCTTGCAGAAACTCCTGGACGTTCCACGACCCAGTGTAGCGGCCACAGGGGTTTCCATCTGCCTATACTACCTAGCGTACTGCGAGGATGCCATGGAAAGGGTGTGCCTTCTGCCGAAGCATATAATATCTGACCTGGTCACCTATGCTTTATGGCTCCTCGAGAGAAGTCATGACTCCGGTAGGTGTCATGCTACAATGTTCTTTGGATTTTCCTTTCCATTCAAAGTCATTCTCGAGGAGTTCGACGCCCAGGACGGCCTCAGGAAGCTCTACAATGTGATATCGACTCTTCCAATTCTGAATATCGAGGAGGAGCCGACGTTAAATGACGACGAGGAATGCGCATCGCGGCAAATAGTCAGACACGTTGCAGTGGCTCTCAAAAGGTACATGGAGGCCCACCTGTACTTGAAGGCCGAGCAGCTTCAGAGGATGGAAAATGCTAGGGTCGAGAAGGACAATTGGCAGCCCTCGATTCTCCCATACAAAGCCTGCAAGCTCTCCTCTGAGGAGGTCCAGGCCAAAGTGGAGATCCTCCAAGAGCTGATGAACTGCAGGGCCTCCTGGGCGCCTGTGGAAGAGCTCCACAGACTGGGAGGTATTACTCTTCTTCTTCAGATCATTGCTTTCGCACGCGACTGGAATTATAACGGTCGGGCTCACACATCCTCCAGCGCTGAAACTGTACGATCGTGCCTGGATGTCATAGCCATTTGCTCAGTTGTTCCTAAGGTGATGCTGCTACTGTGTGACAGAGTGGATATGCCTGATATGTCAATGACAATGGCAATCAATTTACTACTAGCTGCTGCTGAGTGTGAGATAATTGCTGATGTGCAGAGGGCTGCCCTAAGGGCTGTTGTCAATTGTGTTTGTGCACCCTTGAACAGGGTTGGTGGAAATTTGGCTAGATTCTCGGTTGTTGGTTCTGCCAAGAAGAAGGCCAACATGCAGAACAGCGAGGAGATTATTCAAAAAGTGTGGGAGAGTGTGCGTTCGAACAATGGGATAATGGTTCTACTACAACTTATGATGGTGAAAACACCGATTACAGATGCTGATAGCATCAGGGCACTGGCTTGTAGAGCTCTCGCTGGATTAGCCAGGAGTGAGAAGGTGAGGCAAATCATCTCGAAACTGCCAATGTTCACAGATGGTCAGATACAGGCGTTGATGAAGGGTCCAATCCTTCAGGAGAAACGTCAGGAGCACGTGACCTTCCAGAAGTATGCCCTCGAGTTGATGGAGAGAGTCTCGGGTAAAGCGAAACCCACTGGGGCTGAGTACGAAATGTCCCTGGTTAGCCTTCATCGTGCCAATGTCGTTGCACAAACGAGGATACAGTACAATGAACACCAGCTCAATCAGTTAATCTATCAGCATTTGGTGTCGAAAGGTCTGACTGAAACTGCAGCAAGCCTTCAACGAGAGGTCAACCTGGATTCACATCCTATTATGAAATTGGTGACCTCTTATCATCCTGTGACATTTAGAAGCCCAGTGACCACGACACGTGCTGGCTTCTCCCCAGGTGCTCCTGTCAATCTCTACAACACGAGTAGATGCCCCAGGGAGGGGAGCACTCGACCCAATCCCCTTCAAACCCCTACATCCTCCACCTCTCGATTTATAACTCACGTACCAAATACAACGCCAACAGCCAGTCAGCCTTCAACTAGAATTAAATTATCAGATTGTCTCAATGCAAGTCCAGTAAATAGTAATATACAACCGATGAAGCTGCAGATTCATCAGAAAAAACATAATCAGCAGGAGAAACATCAGACGTGTAGTTCATTATCTAGTTTACAAACGATCCTCCAGTCACCCAACACCTGCAGATCGTTGCAAAAACAAATATCGAGGGATCCTGGTGGTGGTGGCGGAACACTGGCCACTGGAAACATGTCGTCGATCATCAGTTTGGATTCGATTATAACGGAATACCTCACGAATCAGCATGCACTGTGCAAAAATCCCATGGTGACGTGTCCACAGTTTAATCTCTTTGAGCCACACAAGTGTCCTGATCCCAGGGCGAAAAATTCAGCAGCCACCAACATGACGATGAGGGTCGCCAGGAGGCAGCTGGGCATCGATGACAGGAGACTCGACAGGAGGCACATCTACAGCAGATTCTGCCCCGTGAAATCATTTCGTCCAGCTGATGTCGAGGGGACATTCACCTGCTGCACTTTCACCCCCTGTCAGCAATATCTCATGCTGGGTACTTATGCAGGGGATGTCAAAATGTATAACGCCAATACTGGAAATGAGGAGGCTACTTATCAGTGTCACGAGTCTTATATTTATCACATGGAGTGCAATCGCAAGGGGAATCTCATGCTGACATCCACTGCCTGGAGGAGCCCTATGTCTGCTCTCTGGAGCATCGGGGCATTTTTCGATATGAAATTGCCTTTTGAGAATGAAGATTACGTGGAGTTCAGCAAGATGCAGGACAGAATCATTGGTACACAGGCTGAGAGTGCAACGATCTATGATATTTCCAGTGGAAAGCTGCTTAGTACGTTAACCCCATCCATATCAAATCAATACACGAAGAATAGAGCGACCTTCAGCATGAATGACGAGCTGGTGCTGAGTGATGGTATTTTGTGGGATGTCAACTCTGGGAAAGAGATTCACAAGTTTGATAAACTCAATCAGACGCTAAATGGGGTATTTCATCCCAATGGCACCGAAGTAGTTTCTAATACTGAAGTCTGGGACTTGAGGACCTTTCATTTACTGAAGACTGTGCCTGCCCTCGATCAGATGAACGTCATCTTTTCGCCCATTAATCATATTATCTACGCGGTGTCGTTGGATCAGGACACTGAGGACGAATCTAATTATGTGACGTCTTTCAAAACATTGGATGCGTTGGATTATAGTAACATTGCGACATACGATGTCAGAAAATCTATCTGCAGTTTGGCTTGTAATAAATATGACACTCAGATTGCCGTGGTGGAGAATCAGGGAGAGTTCGACAGTGTTCAGGAGTCTTGTGTCAGGTTGTATGACGTGGGGAGGAGAAGGGATGATGAGGATGAGGCGGAGGAGGAGGAGGAGGAGGACATGGATGCTAGTGATGATGATGGATCGAACTCCGGATCTGATGACAATAATGATGCCGGTAATTTTATTCATTTTTCGGGCTATGCAAATGAAGATTTTAAATTGTTTATTATTCATTTGGAATTTTACGCATTTTCTTATCAGTGGATATAAATATTTATAAATTATGAACGATTGGAAGATTATTTTTCATTAATTAAGCGGGCATTTCAAATATATTTGTCTCGTAAATGATAAAAGGATGAGACAAAAAAAATTGTTTTTAATGAATAAATTTTGCAGTCGTTAATTGTTTCCACTGAGAAAATGTAATGGAAAATGGAGCAGTGGGCAAGGAAATGATAAAAGCTGGAATTTTATTTTTCAGATGGTGATAATGCTGATGCAAATGGTGAGGACAACGGCGATGATATGAATTTGAATGAAGATAACGGAGACGATGATTCAAGCATTGATGGGGATAATTCAACGAATGGCAGCGATTACTCCCCGGATATGGATCTATCGGGAGAGTACTCGGATATGGATGATTTTGAGATTCTCTTTTCGTGAATTAGGGATAATAAACGCAGACGTTATGAACAGGAATATTTTACATGATTTTTTTTCAAAGAAAATTGGGAAAATGTGGCCTGATTAATGAAGCTCAATGGCTGTGTCTCTGATTTTTCCCTCAAATGCGCTATCCAACAAACCGATTGCCAGACGTTTTCCTATTTCCCTCGGATTGATCAATTTTTTATTATGTTCATTTCCCATTGGCATTGAGTGCAGATAGACGTTGAAATGAGTGAATTTTTTTTGTTAACTGGAAAATTGAATTTTCTGGTTGTTTTTCTCATGAAAACGGTGGAATAATCAAGAATGTTTAAGGAAATGTAAGTGTATAAATAAAATAATAAATGATTAACTATTTTTTGAGATTTTATCTATATATAAAATATCTCTCGGTTTTGGAAGCTGGGAAAAAGAGAATTAATTCGAAAAATTATTTATCCTTTTCCCATACTATTAAAACTAGAATTGGGGATGAGAGGCCAAGGATAACATTCGAGTGATAAACAATTTATCGTTAATTATATTTATTGTAAGAAACATTTATTCATCTTCTTGGACAACAGTCGTCTTTTCTGACACATAAAGACCATCCAAGAACTTTCTTATGTCCTTATTCTTGACAGTCGTTGACTGTTGAATAAGCGCAGCTGAAAGAAGCGAAAATAATTGAAAGATTTTGTCGAATAGCAATTAAAATTGTATCTAAACCCGTGATCTTACCTGATCGCGAAACGTCTTCCAATGAGTTTCCCTCGAGGATCAGCTCGTCCTTCTGCTTAGCCGAGTTGCTAACAGTTACTCCAGGTGCCATCTTCACCCTCCTGATGAATTTCTCACCAAGGAAATTACGGATTTCAATAACCGTATTGTTCTCCGTGGTGACACAGTTAATGGGGAAATGGGCATACACAGCACGCATTTTGTACATGTACCCACTGGTCACACCCTTGAGCATGTTGGTGATGTGAGAGCAGACAGTCCTGACTGCTGCAAGCTCCTTCTTCTTACCGAACCATTTCTCAACCTTCAGGAGTCGTGGGTTGATCATCTTTAAATAAAAAATATTCAATTTAAATAACCAAAATTATAGAAAACATCCAATTCCTGGGGATGTGGTAGAAAATCAGAAATGGATTTATCATTTATAATAAAATGAAGGGGAATCCAAACAAATCATCATTGCATCGATAATTCAATAAAAAATTTATTTCAATATATATAAATAACTATATAAATTTCAATTTTTCATTGATGCAATTAGTCAGGAAAGTACTTACACGGATATCGAGAGCCAAGTGCTTGAAGGAGCGATTGAGAGTTCCTCTGGGTCCCTTCACAGTAACCCTTCGAGATTTGACTGTAACAGTCAATCCCTCCGGGATTTTGACGGTTTGGTTCGTCACAATTTGCTTCATGCTGCAGCTGAAAATAATCAAAATCCTGAATAATCCAATGCCCTAATAACAACAATGGGCAATCGTTAAGTTAGATCTAATGTTTATAGGGTCGTTGAGGTTAGGGCCCTGAGAGTGCAACACAAAAAAATCAAAACGAATCAGAAAAATTCAAGGAATGGGGATGAGAGAAAATTAATCTCCTGGAAACAATTTCAACATGTTCATTCACTGATTGCTCTACAAACTGGAGGGACAATAGCCGTGACAGGTACACGGCGGGGAGAGGTTATCATACACCCCGATATTGTTTAACGAGGCATAATCCAAAAAATATCACTCCAGTATTGAAGAACACACGAAGGTAAACATAATTGCCACGAAAATTTGAATTGTTGCATTGTTTTTGGGGTGGATTGATTGGGATTCAATTTCACGAGATTTTTCGTTACCTTTCACGCGCTACAGAACCACCGGAAAAGGGGGAGCGAGTGAGAGGGGGGCGTCGAACGAAAAATTTTGGAATGAGAGAAATTACTTGCAGAGAACTCTGTGAGTTCCACAGTCAGCTGTCTGTTGATCATGAAGAAATCTTGTTTCTTTCTTCAATTTAATTTGAAATCTTCACTTCAATTTTCATCAATTAAAATTAATAAAGAAAATTGACTCCACGCAATGAATAATTTAATAACATTTTTAGAAAGAAAAACCGTGTCAAAAGTTACGGAAATAAAAGCAAGGAAAACCGGAATCAATTTCAAATACCACTTGTTTATTTCTGAAAGTAATTTTCCACGTGTTCTGTTCTGTATATACATTAATCATCACCCTGAATTTATTTTCAAACTTGTGTTTAGTAAATATATAATTTATTTATACATGGCGCAGCGAATCGCTTATCACAATATACAATTTTATATTTTTTCCACTTGAATTTTCAAAAGTTTCACTCTTACCGCTACACCTTAGACCTCTAATGAATAGTCTGTATTGGTAGAAATATAACGTGATTCGTTATTCATTAATCAATTTCTATCAATGATAATGCTCCTAAATGTATCGATCATTCGTCAATTCACGTATCATGTAAAATGGAAATTATTTTCATCGTTTTTCGTCGAATTAGTCTTAACTCTAACGACCTTTAATTTTCATTATGCTACATTATTTACAAAGGATTTCGTATGCGAATGTCAACGACCCCAGGAAGAGCATTTTGAGATGTTAATGGGGAAAAATGAAGTAAACAGAAAATTGTTGATCGACTAAGCTCCCTATATTTCGTCGACACCTTAAAAATATTATATCAATACCCCAAGGCTAATCGTTACTTTGGAATGAATGAGGTGCAATAAATAAAAAGGAAAGGAAAACTAAACCTCGCCATAACAACACGTGTGCTGTTCCAAAAACCTAAAACAACTGATAATTTTACATAAAAAAAAACATAATTATTTCACCCAATAACACTGCGCTCGGAGAGCATTAATGACCCATTGAATTTCCCCTCGAAAGTCCGAGCGTGAAACAGCAAAACTCAACTGACTCTGAGAGATTCGAACATACGATTTTACGTTCTCGTTCTCTCTTCCCTCCATTCCCCTTTACTCTCCTTAAACCTTAAAAATCCCTACTGTACATTCTTAGCCTACTCGATTACAACAACCATAAAAAAAAGTCTTTGAAAAGAGCCTGGAAATCACGTGTCATCGTCCCTCACACGGGAACAAATCAAATAGTCAAATAATCACTCGAACTACGTCCTTGACACATTGTTTTTGGCACTCGAATTATCATCAGTGTCATCACTCTCCTCCACCTCCATATCTTCCACGTCCTCAACTTCATTATCAAGTTCGTTGCTGTAGCCTTCGCCTTCGCCTTCGCCTTCCCCTTCCTCTTCTGCTTCCTCTTCCCCGTCATCCCCATCCCCATCCACAACTTCCTCGCCATTCGCCTGCTCATGTGTATTTTCATCCTCACCAACAACCTCATCCTCATTTTCATTTTCATTCTCCTCCTGATAGATAAACCCAGCGACATCTCCTATGGATTCATCCTCCTCATCCTCCTCGGCCATCTCCTCGATACTTCGTCGAATCAATATTTGATTGCCCTGAGCATCATTGGCAACCACGAGGACAGTCCCATCGAGTCCCTCAATCTGCACCTCGCCTCCCTCCTCAACCCCGTCAGCCTCTTCATCGGCCACCTCCTCAGAACCCTTGGACTGTGAATCCTCGTGATCGATTTGCAGCCTACTATCATCATCATCCATCTCATCATTGGAATCCTCCTCAGCAGATGCCACTGCGCTAGCAGATTTCGCTGTCGATGAGTAATCGTCATAATCATTTGAGTGAGGAGACAACGGCTCCTTCTCCCCTTCCTCCTCAATTCCATCCAACTCAGGAATATCTCCCTCCTCTCCCTCCTCACCCTCCTCTCCGTCGCCCTTTCTCACCGATCCCTCATTGCTCATCCTCTCCGAGCTCTCCCCCTCACGATCACCAGAAGGGTCCTCTTCATTCTCAGAGGGCAGTGGCACCATGGGGCTGAGTATCGGTGGCCCTTCGTCATCAGAATCCTCTGCAGATTTTCCCAGCTTTTTACCCCGTGATTTCAAAGACTCCGGAGGCTTTTCCTCCCCCTGTTCATCCCTTTCAGGTACACTCGGTGCTTCAGTCCTGGATTCTTCATCTTTAACGGATATCTCCCCCTCATCAGCCATTTCAGAAACTCCACCAGGTACATCTGAATCACCATCCTCCTCATCACTCTGACTAACATCACCAGTAACTCTGCTATTGGCCCTCGACTCGATCTCATTCTCCTCCTCATTACCCGAATCACTGCCCTCCGAGTCCTCAGAGTGCTCCGAGTTCTCTCCATTCTCACTGGCATCCTGTTCAGAATCAAAATCAACGTCCTCCTCAACCTCCTCCATGAGTGACGCCCCATCACCAATCAAGCTACCCTTATCCTCTTCATTCTCATGCTTCATCATGTCCTCGTCATTATCGTTGCTGTGATCCTCGGACTCAGCCTCCCTCCTCTTGACAAGACACTGATCAACGTGTTGATCGAGTTTATCCTGAGTTTCAAAACTCGTTGCGCACTTGGAGCACCAGACGTGCTCATTATTATTGATATGAATGCTCATGTGGAGTAAAAGTTTACTCCTGGCATTGTGATACCGCCCACACGTCTTACACGTGAAATTATTCCCCTCGCATGATAGTATGGCCTCGTGTGCATCCTTGAGATGTTGAGAGAGATCTTTATAAGTGGTACAGAGTTTTAAGCATACGCCGCAGGTGACAGCAGCCTCGGCTCGATGAAATCGAATTAAATGCTGCCACAAGTGTTTCTTCGCTGGCCACTGCTTTCCACACACTTCACACGCGCAAACAGTATTCGTGGACTCGTCGTACACCTTCCTCGAGTCCTTCCTGTAACACTTGAGGTTCTGAGCCATTTTCATCTGAGACAGTGGCATCAAGTTTGGAATGGGTTTCTGGGCAGACAACTGAAGATTAATATCCTCGAAGAGATTGAAGTCTGGTATATTGAGATCTGACTCGTTCATCTCCGCATCCTGTGGCTCTTTCTTAATCTGATTGTTATTCTTCAAATGAGTCTCCAAGATCGACGTGGAACCAGGTCTCGAATCATCCTTGGAACTTCTCCTAGTGCACGTATCAATGTGATTCCAGTATAACGTTTTTGTACTGAACTGTTTGGTGCAATTATTACACTCGAAATTCTCCCGAGCTCTCATCTTCTTCTTGGCGCTGAACTTCATCTTCTTGAGCATTCTCTCCGGATCACTGTTGTGGACAATTCTATAGTGCTCAGCTAGGGTTTCATCGTTGAGAAATATCTCTGGACAGATCTCACAGTCAAAGGTATCAGTTCGTTTGCGTTTCTCAGTCACACGGGGCCCCTCGTCGTAGTTATCCTCATCATCAACGTCCTCAGGCTCCTCCTTAACAGCCACTGATTCTTTTGACTTGTTAACTGGCTCCACGTGATTCTCAAAACCTGACAACTGATCCTTGGGTACATTATGCACATGCTCGTAGTGATACTTGATATCAGAATCGGTGGTGAACACTGCCAAACACTGTTTGCACGTCCTGAAGACCTTGCCATGACACTTTTTCGTGTGATCGAACGCCTTCCACTTGGATGCATACTGCTTACCACACACCTGGCAGGTATTGGGCTTCCGGAGAATGCTACCATGAACATCTTCCACGTGTTTCTTGAGATCCTTGGGATCCTTCATGGGAATGAGACACACCCCACAAGAAACTCCAATTTCATTTCTGTGTAGAGATAGAATGTGCATCTTGAGTTTTAATTTATTCTCAACAGTATCTCCACAAAAATCACAGACATTTGGTGAATTATGATATTTGTGGTCCTTCTTGTGTGACTCTAGGTCCTCTCGCGTTCTAAAAAGCTTTTTACAATTGCTACAAGTTAGATCGGGATGATCCATGTGATTAATTCTATTGTGCGTCATGATCCCCAGTTTTGATGTGATTGTTTCATCACACAAGTGACACGTATAACTACTGTGATGATTCTCGATATGTTTCTGGAGGCTTGCACGATCCTTGAATATTCTCTCGCAAGCCCTGCACCGTGTCAAAAGTGCGCCAGGATCCTTTCGATAATTTTGACAGCCCTTCATATGACGTCTGAGGAGATACCTCTTGTGGAAGCCCTTGTTGCACTTCTCGCAGTGATGAATTACATCCTCCTCAGCGCTCTGTGACGCATAATTCCCTGAATCCTTGCTCTCCTTAGTCTCAGGTTCGTAACGATGAATTTTAGCGATATGCGCTGCTAAGTGATCCTTGGAAGCACTTGTTTTCATGCAGTACGGACAGGTCACGTCCTTGTGTCCCTTGTGAACTCTGTTGACATGTTTCCACAGATGAGATGTCCTTCCATAACACTTATTGCATAAATCACAGGGGAAGAGTGCATGAATGAGCCTACGATGATTGCACAAATCCTCCCAAGATGCAAAACTCAGCTCAGCACACATTTCGCAGCTGAGGTCGACCTCGAGGGGGCTGTGCTCAGAGTTAATAGTGTCGTTCATAGAATCGTTGATTCCATTATTGATCCCCTCGTTGTCTAGTCCGTGTATCTTCCGGTGTCTCGACATTTTGGATTTATTGGAATAGGGACGTCCACAGATATCACAGCTGAAGTCGCCATTGGTGAGTGGCCAGTGATTGGATTTAACGTGGCAACTCAGTTGACCAACATCTGGAAAGACCTTGAGACATACTCCACAGATGAGGGGAACAGTGTCGGCATGTACTCCCATCACGTGCTTCCAGTAATCGACTCTGCTACCCCAAAGTTTACCACATATTTCACAGGTATTAGGAGATGAGCCCTGCATCATGTGGTGCTGCTGGTGCTCATTCCTCAGTGATTTAGTGGCAAATATTTTACCGCAGTCTGATCTCTCACACCTTATGGTAGTCTCATCACTGTGAACACTATTAACATGAAGCCATCGTTCCCATTTGGAGGGATGAGAGCTGCCACAGAGCTCGCAGACGAAGAAGAGATGATACTGGGCTTTATTCCCATTGGGATTTATTCCACCGTTCGCCGAGGGTTCAGTCTGATCGCTCTTGTGGGCATTTCTCTGGTGTCGAATCAAGTGATCCTCATTGGGAAATGATTTTTTGCAGACGTAGCAGTTGACCTTCTCACCGTCTTCAGCATCAAAATCACCTTCCTGCTCGTTATTCAAACTGTCGTTGTAGTAGTTACTGTTGAGCTGGACAAAACTCGCTGGGTCGTACGTGGAATCGATGTTGTGGATGGAAACGTGGGTCATAAGTTTTTTTCTCGAGTCATGCTGACGTCCACATATCGTACAACTGTATCTCCTCTGCTCTGATACCAGCAGCTTCGATCCACCGTGATACATGTTGACGTGGCTCAACAACTGCTCATTATCCGAGCATATTTTTAAACAAACACCACAGGCAAACGCTGCAAATTCCTTGTGAGTAGCTCGAATATGCAGCCACAGTGATGCACGATCGTTAAAATCCCTCGTGCATATTTCACACACAAATACAGTCTCAATCTCAATCATATTGTCGTCTCTACTCTCGGGATCATCGTCATCATTATCTATCCTGGGCTCTGGTGAGTATGGCGAGGCCGATGTCTCATGTTTCAACTCCCCAACCCTTGATTTAGCAAGTACATTCTTCTTCAGACAACGATCACTCTCGATTATTGGCACTGGATCAACTCCATGGGACGCAACGATGTGACGACTGAGAGAAGACTTCAGAACAAAATCTTTTTCGCACAGAATGCATATGTAGGGCTTATCAGAGTCATGAACTGTCTCGTGATCTTTGAGTGCATCAGTAGAGGTAAAATTCAGAGGACAAAATTCGCAGTACCATTTCTTCTCATGATTAGTATCATTCTTTGATTTCAAGGATTTGTAGGGAGATATCTGCTCTTCTCGTTTGTCATCTGTCCTGGTGAGGGCCTGTTTGAGGATCGTCAACTGGGGATTTTTCGATAGTTTGGCCTCGGCGTTTCGATAATCCTTGCTCTCCTCGTCGGATTCCAAACTGGACATATCTGATGTGTCCATGAGACATCTCCCCTTGGGCTGGGGCAGACGACTGGACTCTGACTGACGATCGCCCAGACAAACCCTGCTATGTTTATTAAGATCCGTGACATTTGTGTACATCTTGGGGCAAGTTTTGCATTGATACCTAGTGTCCTGTTGGACGTACGGCACTGGCATCTCCGGGGGTGGTGGGAGGCCAGTGTGTCTCGATTTAATGTGCTCCTCGAGATTTGTTCTCGTCGAGTATATTCGAGAGCAGTATCTGCAGGTGACTGCTGGATGTCCTCGATGAGTCGTCGACACATGTCCCCACCTGTGCTTAGCTGTTGAGTAAGATTTGTTGCACAAATCGCACTGATATGGACGTTTGTACGACGTGTGATCGTCGGTGATGACTTTCTCGCCAATTACGTCGCCCGCACCCACGTGAATTCTCGCATGGAGGGACAGGTGGCCTTTGGAGCTGAATGCCTTGTTGCAGAGCGAACAAACATACACCTCGTGCTGCTCAGAGGTGTGTTGAAAGGGGACTGGTGGTACATGCTGATTCTGGGGATCCTCTGCATCATCTGTCACCATAGGGGGCATCTCCAGGAAGTCACTGGGGTTTGTCTCCATATCCATCTCGTATTCATCGGATTTCCTGTCCTCTGTGTCGTCCATTCCTGGGCAAATCGAACAGTTATTAGGGGAATAAAAGAGGGGAATGCATTTTTTTACCTTCGTCTGTTCCACTCTGGTTCATCACTTCTTCAATTTCGGGGTCTGCTTCACCGTCTGAGTTCAATCGGGGCGGTGTGCCCAGGGCTGCATTGGGATTTACTATTGGCGCCTCTGGGATCAAAATTGGCATTTTTTCCTTCTCTTTGAGTAACTCCGAACGCAACTCTGAGTGCTGCTCCGTGACGTCTCGTTCATCGCCATTTTTCTGAGGATCCAGGTGTTGTTAGATTATTTTCAGGGGTATCGATTTTTCGAAATGGTGAAACGCAATGGAATACAACAGAGCAGCTGCCAAGGGAACAAATGTCGGCAATTGTCATTAACAAACCATTTTTTGATTTTTCTCATTCGAATTTTAAAGTCTCAAATATACGTACTCATTCTGATTTCAGATACGAGGCATTTCCCACTCAATAATTTATTTCTTCCGTTTGATTATTCAATAATTAACACAAAAAATTGCTCTTCCTTGTTTAAGATTGAGGGGAACATTTTTCAAGAGAAGAATACAATAGTGAAAATTAATCTAAAAAATGTAGTCCCTCTTGAAATTTACAAGACGTGAATTCGATGAAACTAAAAAAATTACGTTTCACCAGTCCAATAATTGGGTCTTACGGATTCACTCGGTGGTAGAGATCTCTCCAAAACAGCAACAGCATTGACACAGGCCGTCCTGAAGTCGTAGAAATTCTCAAGATTGTACATACATCTGTAGCACAAGCACTTTGGCAGTCTATCATCCTCTGCGATCTACAATAACGAGGGAAAAAAAAATAACATGAGGACATCATACGCATCAGTTGATAATTGATAAGGAAACAACATACTGTTGAGTTGCTAATATTTCTTTAATTTTCCAACCAGGTCAAGGTGGATAAATTTCAACGTACTGACTCACCATTTGAATGGCAGAACGGTATTAAGAGTCAATGGAGTATTAAGGAAGAGCAGGAAGACAAGTGTCAACCCGAGTACAAAGAGAATTGTTGGAGAAAAAAAAAAGAATAATTGCATAACTGTTGCAGCTGCATAAAGTGGAACTGCAGAGGTGGGCAGTATTCTGGTTGGAATGATTCCGTGGTTTGTCCCTCAGCACTAGGACTTTCTTTTCCATTCCAAGTACCCAATTAGCCTCTCCTGAGAGGTTTCACTGTCCCCCGGAAGACTCCTCATCGAGTATTCATGGAGTTCTCTCTCTCGCTCTCTCTCTCTGTCTCCTTCACGACAACGTCAGAGGGATTGATGAAATTATCATCGAAGACTGGTGGATTCAAATTCAGGTCAATAATTCCCCCAAACGGTTCAACTTCGTTCAACTCCGAGCATTTTCGAGGCTCGAGTCGATGAAACAGCGCTGGGGATGTGTACCTTCAGGTACGTATTGGATATTTTGGGGAAAGGACCTTCGGGGCTTGTGGCTTCGTCACGGGCTTGTGGTGATGGGCAAGATGGCTGAGATGATGGAGGATGAGAGAGGTGACCCTCGGACCGTAGGAGATGGGGACCCACGCAACAACTCGCTGCGCCTGGAACTGTGGTTGGAAGTGGTGGGAAGCCATCACGGACGAGACAACTGCGGCCAACGAGGGGAACAAGGGGGGCGACAGAAAAAAAAAAAGAGCACGACCGAGTGAGAGAGATGATAAAAAGAATGGAGGCGACGGGCGGATGCAGAGACGTAGAGCGACAGGCCTGCAATACCACCACGTAGCCGACGGCTCGTAAACCACATCCAACAGATAAAGAAATGAAAATTCCCCTTGACCGATCACTTATCAATCATTTCGCTGGTTAGTTTTTGAGAATTGAATAATTTAGGTTTATTCCTCGGTGGCAGGGAGCATTGAGGGGCCGGACTATCGTATTACGTGCAACCGATGGGCCCCAGGAAGTCTGACCAAATGCCAGAGAAGTGCAAAGTGGGGATTAGAGAGAGACGATAGAACATGTTTTCACTGATGAGGGAGAGAGATAGGGTTAGATTAAGAGAGAGAGAGAGCGAGATTGAAAGAGAGAGAGAAAGGGCGAGAGAGAGAGAGGCAGGTACATCCCAGCGAGGAAGCTGCCCCTTCAAGGATGCCAACGATCGATATAGAACCCTCGTCTGAGCTCGTCTGCAGTGGCATCGGTGGCATCATCTTCGGTAATATTTCCTCCATGGCAATTCCTCTTGATGAAGTAATTGATAATTCTCATGGCAATGTAAACTGGCAGATGATCACGTGAAGTGGAATGCCAAATTCCGGGATTTAGTGGCACGTGATGAAAAATAGAGGATTAAATAAATTGTTGAATTATTGGTGTTGATGAGGGTGGCTGGGGATGTGAAGAAAATGATGAAAATGTAGCGTTGTGCGCACCACTGGCCTTGGATTGGATGGGACCGTCGTCACCGACTCTAGCAAGCCAACCGACCTCGCTTGATGCTGTATTCGCCAGGCCAGTTGGTAATCGTTATACACATACAGACGAGGAAACAAAACCGACACAAGTCCAAGTGCCGCGCCTCAGCCAATTCCGCCTTGGACGAGCACAGAATCATCATCGTAACGTTTTTAAGCATCATGCAATCTGTCTCTGTCGTAGCCCCACAGATATTGTCTAGGTATCAGTATCAAACAAACGCTAACAAACGAACGATATTGGACATGCCCCAAGTGTCCTCGGGGCCGCCACCTCACTCACTCACTGATGCTTTTACCCATTCGAAAGTCCAAAGGTGTTGATTAAATCGAGGACAGGGACGTGGAGGAGCATTGGCAAAGCAACACCGAAGAGCATTATCAATATTAAACCTACAAGTGTTGACTCACCTTGAAGGGTAGACACGTCTGAATTTTGTCGACTAGTTGACGATTCTTGCCCTCCTGTCCGAATATATCCATTTTAACAGCATCGTAGGAGGCACACAGCCTGCACAATTGCTCGTAACGTTCCCTCGACTCCATCTTCGTATTACCGATATAATATTCACTTATTTGTTTGGATTTGTTTTCAGGCCGATTGTTTCAATTGTTTTTTCATTCCCTCCCTCACCCTCGCGGTTAATCAATTAGTCTGGGCTGTATTTATTCGGTGTGATATGAATTGAGGTCTTGACGATGACGTGAGCCTGGCGAACACTCCCGTCCAACTCAGCTTGTCTTCCTCGTGGTTGAGGCACCGAGTAATTCACTCCACCCGCCGCACTCCTGCCTCCACCACCTCTCCGATCCTCAATACCTCTATCTCTCTCCTATCTTCTGCCAACCCTGGGACGGCCTCTTCTCGAGGGCCCCTCTGCATCCACACGATCATCACATTTTCCAACGAACCGGTGTCAATTGGCCACTGCATTTATCAATCATCGACACTTTGGTGGATTATATTTGTTTATTCTCTAGGTACGGCTAATGATAATGTTGCTGAGGTGTTTCACAGCTATTCAGACACTGACACGACACCCGAGGCCTTTATCGCACCAGGCGAAGTTGCACACACACGGTGAAAATTAGTGGTGGGTGTGTGTTGACGCTCGGGAGGTTGGAAACCATCGGACGACAAACGTTTATCCGCGTCCCCAGGGCAATCTCGGACACTGCATGCCGATCTTCGTCACTCTCCGACAACCGGCCGCCGCCATCTTGTTTATACTCATGGGCATATTTACAATGAACAACGTACAGCTGCTCACTATTCGCCACAATGCCACATCTTCTTCTTATTCTTCTACTCCTAGTGGCTTTATACTCTAACTTTCCCAGGGGCAGCCCCACAAGCCCCACCAGCCCCACCAACCCCACCAGTCCCACCTGCACCCACAACGTATCAATCCAATATCTGCAATAATTTAAAATATTCGAATAATTGTTGAACGAGAAGAAATCAATGGAGAATGAAAATGAAAATTTATTTGTCATACATGTGCGAAAAAGTGTACTTTAGCTCGTGTAAAGTTTATTCAAGTCATTGAAGCTATAGTCTGGTGAAATTGCACGTGCAGAAGGTGTAGTTACAAATAATTGGTGAAGGGGGCGCTTTTAGCCGCAAAAATTGACACCTACAGGGGAAGAAAGGAGAGGAGCCAATGAGCTTTCTTCTTCCTGTGGATCCAAGGAAGAATAATTGATCGTACGATACTGTACCCTCGCGCCATCGCACTGTAAACCCCTCGCGGCCCAGACATATTCAAAATGGCGGTGATAAAGTGCTTCTTATTAGAGGTGTCGCAAAGCTGAGAATTGCTGTGAAGAGCGTCGTGTTATCGTGAAATAACAGTTCTCACTGTTCCGACTTGTTCGATAAAAACAACGGACACTCGCTTTCCGCTCACCGCGTGTTCCTCGCTCGGTCGAGGAGTCCCCAAGGACACAGGGCTATCCTCCAGAACAACATTTTCAGGACAATTATTTATTACAATTATTCGAGGCCTCGTCCGGTTGACATTGAATCGGTGAAGAGACCTTTTTCGTGAATTTACCTGGTGAATCATGCAGGCACCTCAACAGAATCAGCAGGGACATCAGCAGATTGGTGGTGCCAGTGTCATACTGAAGATGAACGAAATACAGCAGCTGTCAACAGTCGGTATGTGAATATATCAATGAAAAATCTCCTCATTCCTTCAAATCATTAAAAAAATCACCTCAAAGAATCATCAAATTTTTTTTGACAATATGGCATCAGTGTCAAACCATTAGAATGTCTTTATCGATTTTTATGAGGCTCTGCCAATTCTTCGGAGAGATCTTTTCCACGTCCTTGCGTGTTGACGTGATATTTTGCACGAAAGAAGATGATTTTTTATTTTTACGTAATCAAAAAAAGTTTATTGGAATGACGATAGCGAAAGAACTTTGGCTGAATGATCCCTCCACATCGGTTTTCAACTTGAGCACGTGTTTCTGTATTGATCCCACATTAGCTGGCTATTGCGGAACTAGAGAAAGAAGCTAACAAATGGCCGATGGATTAAATTGACGTCTGAGTGCGATCTAATAAAAATTAACTCTATCCTCTTAGTTGTTATCCATTAATAATTCTAATAAGGATTGTAGGAATCAGTCCCCTTTGTTTTTTTCCACGCGCTATCACACTGATGTAAGCGGGAATTACCGTGACCTCAGATGACAAGTCGTCTTCATACGACCCAGAAAAATTTTTCTCTATTTCCAAAAAATCGTGGAAAATTCTCATCTCCAGTGTATAACTAAAAAAACCAGGAGAAGGATTGATATTGAAACGGAAATTTCCCACCAGGAGGGCACATTACAACAAAGGACACGAGGGAGAGTCCTTCATCTTTCTTCTCTCTTCCTCGTTGGCCTCTTTGTCGCCCTTGTTTGCCACTTCCTCGAAAAACCGATGGAATATTCCACTGGCTGGCATTTCCATCTGCCATCCAGACCAACTGCCAACTCCTGAAGCCCTTCGTCCGCCCAGGAGTGTAATTTTATTCTCACTTGAATTTGCTCATTGGATCCCATGAATCAATGTCTCTGCGAGATTTTAAACGAGCTGTTTCAATTTCAATAATTTACTCCGGACTCTGGAAGTGCTCCAGGAGGATCCCCATGTCTCCTAAACTCTTCTCAACGATTTTCCAACTGATTTGGAGATTTATCGAGGGCCAGGGCGCATTGAGCTGATGCTCACGTTCCTGATTATTTTCCCCTTCTGCTTTCATCGCATTTACCTTTCCCCTACCAGTACAACTAATACATATACAGTAAACGATTGTGCAGGGTGAAACCTGGACCGCATTTAGAGGAAAGAGATTACGTAGTTAGGATAGTGTTTTTGTAACGTTTGACGCATCTTCATTTTTTTCATCCGCTTAATTCAAGTTTTGTTTTGAGATTGAAGACTAGAGTTGAGAGAGAGGAGAGCTCATTTCAAGCCTCTGAATATTCACTGTTGAAGACTAGCCGCTTTCAGGTGTTTTTTTATTTTTTTTATCAACGTGGCATTCGTTGGAGAGGGTTTAGTCGTGGGTGGAAGAATTGTGGAGAGATGTCGGGGGTTAATATTATCATCAATGGTGGACATAAAGGGATTAGTGGGGGATATTCCGGTAATGGAGCGAGTGATTGGCACAAAGGACAGAATATCCTTGTTGTTGCTCAGGACGCAGACAAAGAGAGCATTGATGGCGAGCAGAATCTAATGCTTGCAGTTGACACTTATTGTTCGTAAATTATCATTAATTTTAAATAATTGGACTAAATTATAATATATTTTTACTCTAATCGATAATTAAATAAAATGTTAATATTCAATTTATCTGACTTTATCACTTCTCACAAAATTTTCAATGGAATTCTACTTGAATTCGAATTGATTGCAGCTTTGTTTTTGTAGAATAGTAATTCTCATTGAATTTTTTCCAATATTCTTTCTACCAGGGCTCTTGGAATTGGCCCACAGGGAGTACCAGGCTGGTGATTACGAAAATGCTGAGAGACACTGCATGCAATTATGGAGACAGGAGACTAACAACACCGGAGTATTACTCTTACTGTCATCAATCCACTTCCAGTGTCGTCGGCTCGAAAAGTGAGTTCAATAATTAAATTGAAAAATTGATCCGAGCGTGTTGACATGCACTCTCATGACAAAAATTGAATGGAACGTTGTAGAACCGAAGTTATGTTCGATTTATAATATTTTTTTGTGTTATTTTTTTCCATAGATCAGCACACTACAGCAGTCTTGCTATAAAACAGAATCCTCTTTTGGCCGAGGCGTACAGTAACCTTGGGAACGTGTACAAGGAGCGTGGACAGCTTCAGGAAGCCCTTGAGAATTATCGACACGCTGTCAGGCTAAAGCCAGATTTTATTGATGGATACATCAATCTGGCTGCTGCCCTGGTAGCAGCTGGGGACATGGAGCAGGCGGTGCAGGCTTATGTCACTGCTCTGCAATACAATCCAGTTAGTAATCCTTCATTTAATCGTGGATTTATTTTCAAAGGAACTCCTTGATTCCTGCAAAATTGCTAGTCATCGTGACATGAGAATGAAACAAGAATAATACGTTCATGTTAGATTATTCTGAAAATGCATTCATCATGTCATTTGGACAAACCCTAAGTTTTTTTCATGAATGATTACCAACTCATAATTTCTCGTGAATTCGCTCGATACTCTGGTCTAGCACAAATCTATATTATCATCGGCGCTGATAATGTAACTTTGCACTCAAACTTCTATTGAAGTCAATCGATTATTTAATGAGACCACGACCAACCAAAGATTAATTTTCTATTGAATTCAGGCTTATTCATTCATGATACAAAAGTCACTCAGTTTTGCATCTGTACACGCCTGAAATTTTTGTTCTTCCCAAAAAGTTCCCGTAATCGTTTACTTTTTGTTTTTTTATATTTCTATTTGATTTTGTAGTTCTTTGGACTGCCAATGGTCACGGTCTTTTCTTTTATTCACTAGACAATGTTATACGCGCGATTATAATTTGAATGAATCACAAACCCATATCGTAATTTGATCAAGAACAAAGGTAGCAATAATTTGGAATATAAATGGATATTTAATTGTTTCTTTCAGGACCTGTATTGCGTGCGAAGTGATCTGGGTAATCTTTTGAAAGCATTAGCGAGACTTGACGAAGCTAAGGTAAGTCTAAAGAGTGTAAATAGAAAAAAAACTGTTTGATATCCCACGTGTCACAATGATTATGAATTAGTACTCTTGAAAACAAAAAACTGCTCGTTGGTCTCCTGTATTGTTCACTCGTGGTGTGCAATAATTATCATAGAATCATAATTCTGGTTTTGAAATTAGTAGCAATCGAGTACTAATACGTAATGTGCATGTGGTTTATGCTGGCGCAAGTTCTTGTGGAATGTGTAAGAGCGATATTTTATGAGAAAAGTAGTTTTATCTAAAGTGAAAATCAAAAGCTCATGCAGAAAGCCACCTTTCTATGGTCACTAATGCGAATAATATTGACGCAAAAAAGAAAATGATAAAATTTTTATGTGCAATGCGCGCGCTTCACATTCATAACATCTGCCATCAAAATTCACAAGCGAAAATAATAAGTATGTTTTCGTGAAACAGAAAAAATGACGTTCTTTCAGCATTGACGTTTTTTTGATTGCAGACAACACACTGTGTATCTCCTATCTCTTGGAAATTGTTTCCAGCAATGTCTGATGTCGTTATCCACGTTTTAATAGTCACTGAATGCGTTGAATTCCAGGTGCAATATGAATTCCATTTCCACCGATGCTGACGTGAAACGACATCAAACATTAATTGTTCAACTTTATTGGCAATTTAGCGCGACGTGAAATCACCATCAATCTCAACTGATGATTGAACGATTAAAAAATGGTGCTCTCACGTGTTGAGAATAATAGCTGATCCTATTTCCACATTTTCATGTCATTGGAGGGTGCAATGCATTTCAATCTCATCTGAAATTTATGATAAATTGGATCAGCAGCGCAGCGACACTAGCTCTTAAGTTCATCTCATGTTTTTATGTTCCTTTCCACAATTATCCACATTTATTTCATGTACAGCAGACACTAATTATCCAGTAGTTATCATGCATCATTACTTTGCGCGAGTTTACTTGATCCCAACATTGACAATGACTCATGTGATACATCTACTGAGGATTTGTAACATAAGCTCACATTGCATTGGGTACTGATGCAACGTGCGCCAATTAGAGTCTCTGCGTAACACCCATCCTGGTGATTATGCACTCTAGCCAATTTCTCTTATTCCACAAAGTGGTCAAGTAAACTGCTTGCAGCGCGGCGCTGGCGAACATTCAACAGAGCTCCCACGTTCGTCCAATAAATTCATCCCGAATAGCATTATAATAGCACAATAATTCCCAGTAATTCACAACAATACATTCTATTGAAATCCAAAAGCGAGAGAATAATAACTAAATGAAAATTCATGACATGACATTCGATGAACGAAAGATGTGGACAGAACGAGGTAGCTCTTTTCATTAAAATATGCAAGCTGACAATTGAGGGGACGTTTTCTGCTACATTATTCACCATTCCCGAGAACTCGTCGGTTGTGTCTCACTATTGTGTCCCCCAATTTGTGTTATATCATTTATTAAAATCAACTCGATCAGCCTCAATTATTTGTTCACACTCAAAGACAACAATTGGCAGAGAAAGATCATTACGATGCATGTGAAATTGATTTTTAACTGTAAACAAGTTATTGTATGATCAGACGACTAGCAGTGGCTGACGAGTGTAGAATAATCATTAGGAAGAAAATAATAGAGTTTAATGATGATAATGAGAGAGAAAGAAAAATCGTTTTTATTTAAATATGATATTTGTGAGGTTGAGATTGAGGTGGTAGTTTTGGTGAAGAGACATTAACGCAGCTGTCTTATTGTTGTGGATTGAATGATCAACTCTAGGAGGGGAGCATGGAGCAATGCAAACGTTCTGTATCCACTGGGTTCCTTCGTCAAAGGGTGCAAAACAATCTGAATCTGGTTATTCAGTGACACAACACAAGTCACTGTGCGATTGTATTAGTATGAGAGTGATTGCTACCCATAAACGTCAACCTACCGAATGGGTAATACGAAGGTAATGTAGATCCCAAGGTCGGTCTTCCTGTCCCCCTCCTTGTGTCCAGTTATCATAATTCCTCGATATATTATAAAAATATTACCAATGACAATCGATTTGGTAAGTAAATATTGAATTATAGATATATCTATAGTGTTATTGTTACGAGTATTGCTTTTTTTTTTCTCTCCTGGTGGAGATTCATTAATTATATCCTGTACTGTTCCATGTTTCACCGAGTCCTACCTGAGACCGGCCATTTTACCGAATCTCCCCTTTATATTTATTTTTTTAGGTACCGATTATTTACAGAAGTTTAAAGGTGCTAGCCCGTCCCTCGATACGCGCGATTTTCCATCTCTACTGCACTTATTTGAGGGTCTCACTCATTTTTATTGCTCTTGGATGATTAATCTCGTGGATTCGCACGGTGTACCGGTTGCAGAATGTTATTATTATTGTCGTTTATAATTGTATTTGGGGATAATGTGGTGGTGGAGTCCACCAGACGCATTCTGGAGACTCATCAACACTTGGTGGTGCGAGTGACACTCTCAAGCGCGTCTTAATCCCATCCCAAAATTCCCGGAGTCCTCCGTAATTTTGAGCCTCGCAAAACTCCATTATGCAAGGCAATGCTGTCGCATCGATGAGCAATAGCAAGATTTTTTGATAGTCGACGAAGTGAGGTGACGAGTGTCGTGGAAGGCGTGGATGGTCGTTTGCTCATCATCCAGGGGGTGGGAAAATTGTGGGAGTATGTCTGGATGTTGATGGAGTGACCTAATTCTGTAAGTTGTGTCGGTTTTACTCTGTCGAGTGATGAAGAAGTTGTAGATCTCGTAATTGCAAGAAAGTCAAGCAGACGAATTATTTGGATTGAGCGTTGGATAACGCAGTTTTCTTTATTACTTCACACCCCAGGGGATCACTGGCTATAGCTGCCTTCACCGACACTCGTTGACTCTTCCAAATTGATGAAAAATACTGTAGAATCATTTAGTGAGGATAATTGATTGAAAGTTGATTGACTTTTGGAGGATCTCCAGCAAATCCTGGCTTCACAAAACATTGTGACGTGTTCATTATTAATGAATTGGTAAACGATAAGTGGAATATTTAGGAAATATGTTATTAATTTATGGTTGATATTTTAGTGTTGATAAATTCATGATGATTTAATCGTGATACACATCACAATGGCTGCAGGCGCGGCGCGGAGAGGACGGGCAATTGAAATAATTTGTTGAATGAAAATAGATAGCGCGGCGCGCGCCACTTTTCAGAATTGCGAGCAGCAATAATTGTTAATTTCTTTAACAATTGTGAATGTCTGACTCTAGGCGTGCTACCTGAAGGCCATCGAGACTCGCCCGGACTTTGCCGTTGCCTGGAGCAATCTCGGTTGTGTCTTCAATGCACAGGGTGAGATATGGCTGGCTATTCATCATTTTGAGAAAGCTGTTGCACTCGATCCCAATTTTCTCGATGCCTACATCAATCTTGGAAATGTCCTCAAGGAAGCCAGAATATTTGACAGGTGAGTGGCGTTTACATTTCAATATTGCCTGTTGTCGTCGTGTGTAAAAATGTATAATTATTGAATAATTAAAATAAATTCAAAGTCATTATTCAAACGAAGAGAAAAATACAGGAAAACGTACGTAATCCGTACGTAGTCACGTAATCCTGGGGTGAAAAATGATTTCACTCGTTTTTATCTGAAATCATGATAAAAAATTCAGTATCAAAAGAACCAATTTTACCGAGAACTATCACAGACATATCTTTCGGATATGTCACCAGAATAATATATCGAAAAATCCAGGATTACAATAGTTAACTCGAATATGATGATCCGATCTCGTTTACATTTCAATGACATCCTGGAGAGGGCAGATAGGTTTGAAGTAGAAGTAGACGATCGATTTATTGATTCGACTGGCTAGAGTTATGGGGATTTGTGCTGGAAGTCTGATTGAGGAGAATCCTGGAGCATCACATATCCTATAATACTTTAATCGATTGGCTTTTTTCGTTTAATTAAATGGGATTGTCTCTCGGTCCCTCTCCATTTCTTTTTTCCGTCCTATCGTTTTATCTTCTGAATGGAGTAGATGTGCTTGACAAACATCTGAACATTTTGCGGTAGTAAAATCATTGAAATTCATAAAATTCATTGAAATCCTGAATTTACTCCTGACAATACTTGGAGCATTTGAAAATAATTCACTTCCCTATGGAGCCATTTCGTTTTGATTTCTTAATTCCGAGTTATTTACACATCAAAATTTTATTAGTTGAATTGACTATAACTTCCCCGTGGAGACCCAGAGTTGGATCCACCCACCTATTCCCATCGTCCTTGGCGCAAGCCCTTTATTGATTCGAAAGACAGCTACATGCGGCTATCGCCCCCTCAATACCAGTAGATCTAATTTCAAATACAGCAATTTTCCATTTTTCTCCGTTTTTCATTGAGAATTCAGAGAATTGCCAGTACATGGTGATCATTTCTGGATATATATATCAGCGCTGTAGATTTATGTGACAATCTTTCCACAATGTAAAAATATAAGGCTTTAAGCAGATGCAAATTAAAGAATTCAGTACCGCACAGTCGACTGGGTTTATCGATTCCATTTCCAGTAATCTGTAATACTATCTTTTCACTATTTCAATGATGAATATCTCCGAAATCAAATTCCCGAGCGTTGAATCGAACTTTTCGTTATCTTTCTCATTGCGGTCTTTATCATCCGAGTATTACGTTGAGTCACGTTCAATTTACCGTCACGATTCCACCATTTTGATTATCAATACCTTCAAATCCAATCTTTAACGTTTCTGTGATGATTGCTTGAGGTTTTCTGTGGAATTAACTCAGGGAAGGTCGATTGGAAAAATGAATGAAAAAAATAAAATTCTGTCGAATGTTACCATGAGGATTTATTAGGTTTGAAGTTCAGGTGAAAATTGAGGAGCAATTCTCGTGTTGGATAAGAATACCGTCTACATGTGGAGGGAACTGGTAGTTTTCCACTCTTCTCTTATTCTATTTTCTTTCCCTTTGTTTGCGAACTCACTCGAAGGAGGAGGGAAGACAAATAGGAATTGTGAAAAACAGGGGATATTTTCTGGGACATTTTTTCCCTTTATTTTTCATTACGAAGTTCGGATGGATTTTGTTCAGGGGGTCGTGAGTTAAATTTAAGCTTAGCAGTTAAAATTAGTCAATAGTTTGATTTATTGTTCTTTCAACTGAGGATAAAGTTGAAAGATCAAATCAATATATTCTGAAAATTGAAAAATTACAGTTTTTTTATGAGTTCATTCCAATAGTTCTCACAATCAATATAAATAATCAATATTTATTGACGTTGTATGACTTCAATTCACAGCACCTGCGTTTGGTGTGCACGTAAAACGTTCTAGTTTCCCGGAAAATGATTGGATATCAGTTTACCCTTGAGTTTCCGATAACTTGAAAATGCGCTTTAATTTAGGACTGAATATTTATATTATTATTGGAAATACTATCAATTATCCTACAAGTTGATTGAATTTTCACTAATAATACCACAAGTGCATTCAACACTATTTTATATCTCCGATAATTTCATCGAATAAACGGAAGTATATTAAATTCTCAAACCCTTTAATTCCGTTGATGGGCAATTATTCTCCGTAAAAAAACTCTTCCGTATTTCTAGTCGCTATTTTCATTTCCCTTTATTTACCCGAGGAAAAATACCAATTGAGGAAAGCAGGATATATTTCCCAAGAATTTTCACGATATTATTCTTTATTACGATGTTTACACGACCTGGGTTTGAGAAACGTGTGGCATTCCCAACACCTCAGAATTTCTCGCTTAAAATGTGCTAGCAGAAATAAAAATATGTGAGAACAATATTTTTAAAAAATACTGCACGGTGTAAATTTTCCAGCTGCAAGTCATCGGTTGGAAAAATTTTTATGACAGGAAACAGTTGGAGATGGGGAATGAGCGTTATTTTATGATAGAAACACCGGAGACATGACAGGAAAAAAGGCAGGGAAAAATTGACAGAGGGAATTTTTATATATGAAAGATATGTGGAAATGGGTTAATGTAATTAATGTATTACTGGAGCATGCGTTACTTTGGAATACGTGTCAATGAGTGCGACTGATAATCCGAGGATCGCGAGTTCGAGTCTCTCATCTGTATCAGTGGTATTATTTCCACCGCACAGTTTGATCAATTGACGTTGCCTAAAAATACTTAAACGTTAATTTTAAAATCTGTGCTAGAGTAAATCCACTCGTAGTTATTTCAACGGTAATTATTGAATTTACCGTTGATAGTCACGAGTTGTACATTATGTTTATCTCCAACAAATTACATTTGCAAATCTAATACTACCTGAGGAAAATAAATAAATAGATGTGGAACTTTTTTTTTCCAATAAATAAAAAGTACTTTTCCACTTTGATCTCGCCCAATTTTATGATAGTATTGAATAAAAGTAGTTTGCGCGTGAAACGTGCAAAAAAGTGTCCCTTCCTTTATTTGTATCATAAATGCACTTTTCATTCAAGTATCTCCCGACTGACAATACGTGCTGCCATTATCTCTAAAAGCTATCTGTAAAACCGATATCGATAGGTTACGACGAGGGAGAATAAAGAGAATGAATTTATCACATTATTCTCGGTATCCATTGGTTTTTTATTGCCCTCGCACTATTCCACCACTTCTACCCCATTTCGTAGCCCATCTTCTTGAATCTCTCATTTTTATCCCCCGTTTACTTTCCACTCACCAAGAGGCTCTTCCTCTTGAACGTGCAAGACATCAAGCCGCTGGCCACTCGTGAAAATAATTTTCCACTACGTTACCTCAGGTCGGGTGACAAAGGGCCACTGTTGTTTGATAAAAATTAATTTCTCTATTTTATGGAGGCCACTTTATATTTTACGTCGAGAGTTGGAGTTCATTGAGGCTTAATTTTTAAGAGAAAGTTTTTCTGGACTCTTAAGTGAGTTTTCCCTCCGAAATTCTTGAAACTTTGCGGATTCTAATCCCAGAATTATCTCTGGAGGCACGAGCAAGATAAGACGCAAAAATTAGGGCAGGAAAGTTTGGTCCCCTGCATTTTCCACGAGATTCCCAGGACAAAATGCATTTTATAGTTGACTTCGTGGTTATATGAAGGAGCTCTTGAAGATAATGTAAGAAAAATATGCAGAACAAGTATTCTTAACTTTTCGGTCCTCACGTACGCTGTAGGCCACGCCCCAGTTTTATTTTTGCAATAATTTTTTTTCACTCCTTCAACGTTCATTAAAACGATAATTACTGGGTAAATAACACAATTTTTTTCTGTATCTATGGATTTTTATTGCATTGCACAAACGAAGTTGCAGATTTTTGCTGAATAAATGAAATTCTTCAGTTTATTTCGCGTCAGTCTATCGGAGAAAATTATATTATTTTTTGCACAAACAAGGACTTTGTTATCATCGGCTCAGGAAGCATAAAAAGATGAAGAGAGGGTTGTAGCTGAATTTTCGGTGGATCGGATGACATTGACATCAGCCGCAGTGAAATATCACCCGCATATTGTGCCAGAAAAATGATATAATGACGAATAATAAAAAAAAGAAAACCCGCAGCGTTCCAGGAGTCGCATGAATTATGAACGTGGGTTCCAAAGAACACGCCAAGTTGAATAAAAAAAATTGGAAAAGACCGTGGAGATGTACCCAGTTATATCTTTATCAAAAACCGCTGTCAGGTCTGAAACGGGGCGCATGAGCGGAGGACTATGAAATCGATATTATCCCAAATTTTGCACGAAGTTACAACCTTTTTATTTTAACGTTCCCTCTAGGACATTAAAATGATAAAAAATTTCATGAGAACATTTCAGGGATAAACTATTAATGATGTTGATAAACCTCAGCTGTGTTTTTTTTTTTTTTTCTTCTGCTGTGGTATATGTGGAGTCATTAAATTTTTATATAATTAAATTATTTATCACGTTATCAACATATTAACATTCTGTCGGACAAACGCAAAGATAATTTATTCTCCGATTGATATCGTCAATGAATTGACGGAATACCGAGACAGAAGAATAATTAGAGATGTTTTAAATCGTAATAAGGTTTTATTCTGTAGTTCTTTTATGCAATTAATTGTGAATAAAACTTTCCACCATTCAATTTAGAACTTCTTCCACCTTGAAATGATACTATTGGCGGTATACGATCTCATCGGACTTCGAACTAGAGAAGTTTGGAATTATTCTGCGAATTGGTTGTTTTGGAAACAGTATCCAATGCTGTTTTCAGTTCTGCTCGTAATTATCTCATTAATAAATTAATAGCGCATGCAATTCGGGATAATTACTCTCACTCCTTATATCTCATTTCCGTCCTCATTGTTATCGCATTATCCTCATTATTCGCTCGGAGTAAGAAAAATTCTCCCAAAATCCGAGTTATCCTCAAATTTATATGATTAATAAATCATCGAAATGAATGAGATATTCGAATTACAATTAAAAGCCATTGATGATTGATTGATGATTGAGTTTCGCCTTTATCTTCCAAATCGTCTGGCAAATACCTCCAAAATTGTATCATTTAATCCCCAATTAATCTATCCAAATAAAATTATCCCTAACAATTCCAGAATTTTGTCTACAAAAAATGACTACATCGCCTCTTAAATTAAAAAACCCAAAGAAACACTTAATGACCGTATAATTTAATTAATAGTAAGTCCCACAATTTCTATTGGGAATTCCTTTCCGTGTAATGTGAAATGTAGAGCCATTTGACAGATTAAAAAAAAACCTATTGTCCGTGTGAACAACAGGAATGCTTCTCGGACGTTTAAAAAGCCGTGTAAAAGTTCATCTAATGGACATCCACCACCGGCTTTTACCCTCGAAGACAATGTGATCTTGTGCTCCTGGTGAATACCCAAAAGGGAAAAGTGGTTTTCACGTAGAAATCGCCTTGGTAACCTGCAGCCTCGTGTGAACTATATCCTGGCGCAGTCTGTCGCTAGACACCTCCGGTATTTTTCATTGGCAAGAGGAAGAGGGATACATTGGCAAGAGGGAAAAGGGCTGGAAAACGCACGGCGCTCGACGCCGACGCGCATTCGGTGTCAGAAGACCCCGAAGAGTCACATCATACCAGCACAGCCAGTAGTTTAGTTCGTAGCACCCGGAGCACATCGCAATCCTAGTCCAAACCCCCGGGTTCTTCGAAACTCTATCTCTATCTTCTTCTTTCTATTCGATAAATAGACTATTTATCACTTTCACACATCAATTTTTCCATTTTAATCTTCAAGTTGTTCAATTTATCTACCATCTGATATGTCAAGTTTCGAGGAGCCGATTTTAATATTACTGCCCATCCAATAATGTTCGACGATCTCTGTGGTTGATACCAGTAGCAAGTGACAACTTGTTCCTCAAGTTTCTTTATATTATTTTTTTATTATCGGTAAATCTTATTACTCGTTACTACTCACCATTTCTATCTGCGGACTTTTAACTGGATAATCATTGCGGACACAATTTTCACGGTCAATTATAGACGCTGTCTGGGTATCATCTTCGCTACTACTACTAAATAATTACCCTCATGTTAATAATTAATAATAATAATTAGTCTTAATAATTATCTTCCTGTTTATTATTTTTTCGGTCATTTAATACTATTGTAGACTATATTAGAGTATTTTAATGCTCATCGTCTAGTATTTTTTCTGTGCTCAGTAATACTAGCAGCGAGTAGAAATTCATTTTATCGAATTGTTCTAATGATTATCTATCTGGTGTAATTGAATCGACTGAGCCCTTCACGTCTTTTCCATTTCGTTTGCTGTTGTTTCTTCTCTTTGATCGACGCTCCGATGCTTCAATCCATTTGTCAGAAAGCCCAAGTCAGAATTTCACTGCAACTTCTTTTATCCCTTCAATCAGTCTTTTTATTTACTCATTCATTTTTAACACTGAAAAAATAGAAAAATCACGATATCCTGACGGGATTTTCAGTATTCAGTTAAACTGAAAGCAAGGATTAATTCCACTCGATAAAAACTCGTCTCTCCAGTTGAAAATACGTTACACTCCGTTAATTTTCGCTTCCTGCTTCCTCACCGGATTTATTTATCGGCCTCTTTTTTATTACTGACCCATATTTTTTCCCCCGAAAAATAAAGAACCAGGAGAAATAGGTATTATTTTTAAACATTCATATATTGATCTTGCTGGAGATTGCAACTGTTTAATTGATATTTTAATTTGATCTAAAATTACTTCCAAGATTGGATTAAGGGGATAATTAAATACGTGGAACAGAGAACAACATCTGGAAGTTTGACGCCACCGGGGGATTGTGTGCTCGTGTCCTATCTCAATAATGGTGCATGTCCTCGGGACAGGAAGAGTATAAATTCGATGTTAATGAGCACAAATTGACAGACTGAATTTTCAAAAAAAAAAAGAGAGGATTCTATCCTTGGAAATAGTTGCTCTTCCAACAAAGTGCGCTTACACGGCAACTGCAGAGACTGACAGTTTCACCAGGTGAAAATTATCGATCCACACGTAGTCACGATCATCAGTCTAGTTTCAAGACAAAGTCCTGCCAATCGATCCATTTAACCATAAACAGGTGATAAATTATTTGAGGGAGGGGGAATAATAGCCACAATGATTGGCTGGTGATAGCAACCAAGAGACTGAACGTAGAATCATCTGGACACTATTTGATGATGCACAATTGACAAACAGGGTCCTAAAACACTAGATTATCCGGCCAACGCTGTTTTTATTTTTCTACTCGGGATCTTTATTTTATATCGAACGAGATAATCAGTGACAGATCGCTCTCACGTCCACTATTACTGAGTATTTTATCCACAAGTAAGCGAGGTAATCGTCAGGCTGAAATGTTAGGATAGATATGGCCAAGGTATGGAGTACCAGTGTGTCATCGTTTATACAGTGATCTCACCATCGAGCTCAGTAGCACCTTCCATTCGTCTGCAAATTGAAAATACTGTTACCAGTCCAGTTCCCTCTGGATGCCTTGCCTGGATAAAGTCCTGGATCAAAAGGTGTTCTATTAATAACCCACATCTCAGTGCACAATTCTGATCGCATCATTAATCAATTTACAGCTCTTTAAATTACTCATATGATTAATTCGATAATTTTTTTTTTACCTCCGTCATAATCTAGTGATTGAAAATATCAGCCTTTAAAATTATAATGGGATTCTCTATGAGGAAAATTCAATGCCCACAAGTTTGAGCTCAGACCCATATGATTCGTCCTTGAACATTGTAGCCTATTAAATAAAAATAGAAGCTTGATGAAAGGGCAAACAGCATTGACGCTCTAACGGTTAATGAATGGAGAATAGAGGAAAATCGAGGAAGTTTAAGTTCATTGCAGACGCAATGGAGATGTGTCTTTGAAACTTTTGAATTCAACGAATGCCACTTTATCATCAGATATTAAACAAACCGATGGGTTTTAATAAATAATTAATCAGACTGGTGGGTTGTTCTCTCTCGGTGCTGATAACGTTGATCAATGGCTTGTGCCCGTGGCACGCAAATCTAATTGCCCTTTCTCATTACTTATTCGCGTTACCTCTACCTGTGATGAGAGAATTCATTGGGTGTTTGAGAGTGAAAACATTATTTATTGTCTCTCGTTTAATTTATTTAGAGCTGTTGCTGCATATTTGAGAGCCTTGAACTTGAGCCCCAACAATGCCGTTGTCCATGGAAATTTGGCGTGCGTTTACTACGAGCAGGGGCTCATCGATTTGGCCATCGATACCTACAGACGAGCCATCGAACTCCAGCCCAATTTTCCGGATGCATATTGCAATCTGGCCAATGCACTCAAGGAGAAGGGACAAGTGGTCGAGGCTGAGGAGTGCTACAACACTGCCCTACGACTATGTCCCACTCACGCTGACTCTCTCAATAATTTGGTAATTACAATGTTAATAATTAAATTTTCCCAGGAGTTGATAACGACGGCCCTCCGCAATATCAGTAATTAGCTTCAACATCGCCATGGGCAAGTGATGGCCACAAAATATCGGCGGAGTTATTTTAAATATGAAAAGTTTGAAATTCAAACTCCGGGGATTATTTTAATTTCAACTGCTGGTCCAGGGGACTGAAATCACGAGAATATTTTTCTACTCAACTGAATTTGAATTGTAAATCAGAAATCCACCGTGAAAATCCTAGGGTAGAACTGATTTCATGACGATACAGTATTTTAACGGAGGCTTTCTCAAAAAATAATGAACCAATGTTAAAAGTGTTAAAATATTCAATTGAATTCCAACTCAATCATTGGGATATTGTTTTTTTACCGAGGAATCGCGTGAATAAATTATTATATCGGATAGTTTTTCTGTTGGAGAAAAGGAAAGGATAAGGATAAATCTTGCGGAATTCAATTAAAGATTCGGATAAATGCAAGCGGTTGTAATGTCCAGGAGGTAGAAAAACGAAAAAGTTATTAAATTGGATAAAATTTTTTAAGGCCAACATAAAGCGGGAGCAAGGGTACATCGAAGAAGCGACTCGTCTTTATCTGAAAGCCCTCGAAGTATTCCCAGAGTTCGCGGCAGCCCACAGCAATCTTGCATCTGTATTACAACAGCAGGGAAAATTAAATGAGGCACTAATGCATTACAAAGAGGCAATACGTATACAACCAACTTTTGCTGATGCCTATTCAAACATGGGCAACACCCTCAAGGAGATGCAGGATATTCAGGGTGCTCTCCAGTGTTACACAAGAGCTATTCAGATAAATCCTGCTTTTGCCGATGCACATTCGAATCTCGCTTCAATTCACAAAGACTCGGGAAACATTCCTGAAGCCATTCAGTCGTACAGAACAGCATTGAAACTCAAACCAGATTTTCCAGATGCCTACTGCAATCTTGCACACTGCCTGCAAATTGCCTGCGACTGGACTGATTACGAAGCTAGGATGAAGAAACTCGTGTCAATCGTTGCTGAACAGTTGGACAAAAATCGTTTGCCAAGTGTTCATCCTCATCATTCCATGCTTTATCCACTTTCACATGACTTTAGAAAGGCCATTGCTGCGAGACACGCTAATTTATGTATTGAGAAGGTGAGAAATGAATAATTTATACGTTGGGAGATATGAATTGACAATTGAAGTGATGAAACGTAATGAATCAACTCTTGTTCCTTAAAAAAATGGAGAAAGAAGTGTCCATTTTTTTTTTAATCATATTTTTCTTTGGCTTCACCAATTTTAATTTATTTCAATCCACCACTTGACCAGTAGATACATTAGACGTGGAAAATGAAGCTCTTATGTTTAATCACTTCACTACGACCTGGGGACACGAAAGAGTCCCGATAAATTTATGAGATTGGATTAATTGATCATTAAAAAAACGAAGTTTAATGAAGATTTTAAAGTTAATGACTTTATTAGAGGGAGTATAAAAAATTTATTCAATAAGACGTTCTATTGAGAGCATAAAAAGGGAGGAAATAAAAAGAGACAATAGACGCCCATGAAGAACTGGTTTTTTTCACTAATTGAAAAAGTTTTTAATATATCTCAGATAATACACGGGAACCTGATATCCATGAATTGGATAAAAATTATTCGCTAAAACTTCGAACCAAATTGAATAAACAATTGATAAGTTTTGGATTAAAAATTTATTGGCGATATGAAAAATATGTATTTGTTTCATATAATTTCAAGGAATTAACTAGGATCGCTGAAATTTATATAAATTATTAATGTTTTTAGATTCACGTGCTGCACAAACAGGCGTTCAAATATCCCCGTGAAGCTGGCCAACGGTTGAAAATCGGTTACGTCTCCTCGGACTTTGGTAACCACCCAACGAGTCATTTAATGCAGTCAATTCCAGGTCTCCACGACAAAAACAACATTGAAATATTCTGTTACGCATTGAGCGCCGACGATGGTACTAATTTCCGCTCGAAAATAGCTCGTGAATCTGAGCATTTCATCGATCTATCTCAAACCCCATGTAATGGAAAAGCAGCAGATCGTATCAATAACGATGGAATACACATTCTGGTTAATATGAATGGTTACACGAAGGGAGCGAGAAACGAAATATTTGCATTACGACCAGCACCCATTCAAGTCATGTGGCTCGGTTATCCAGGCACATCTGGTGCTAGTTTCATGGATTATTTGATTACAGACGAGGTAACATCACCTCTAGAACTGGCTAGTCAATACAGCGAGAAATTGGCCTACATGCCACACACATATTTCATTGGAGACCACAAGTAAGTTGATGATTACCATAACTTACTAATTAGCTTTGGCTGCATGAATAAATTCATTAGAAATTCAATTGCTGAATTGTCAACTCATAAGGGGTTCACTAACAATTGGTTATTTCCAGACAAATGTTCCCTCACCTGAAGGAGCGACTGATTCTCGCAGATAAGTTGGGCCTCAAGGGAAAAGTCGCGGACAATGTCGCAGTGATAAATGCCACTGATTTATCCCCTATGATTGAAAATACGATGGTGAAGGAAATACGTGAGATAATAGTCGCTGATTCGAAGAACAAACCAGTTGAAATATCCCTGAAGGTCGCTGAGCTGCCAACAACAACTCCAATTGAAACAATGATTGCTTCTGGCCAGTGTCAAATGTCTGTCAATGGTGTGGTTGTTCAGAATGGCATGGCACCGACACCTGTCAATACCAAAACGGCCACTGGTGAGGAAGTACCACAGAATATAGTAATCACAACGAGACAGCAGTATGGATTACCCGAGGATGCAGTTGTATATTGCAATTTTAATCAGCTGTACAAAATAGATCCATTGACACTTCACATGTGGGCGTATATTTTGAAACACGTACCAAACTCGGTTTTGTGGCTTTTGAGATTTCCAGCGGTGGGTGAGCCAAATTTACAAGCCACTGCACAGCAACTTGGTCTTGCACCTGGTAGAATTCTCTTCAGTAATGTCGCTGCTAAAGAAGAGCACGTCAGGCGGGGACAATTGGCTGATGTTTGTCTTGATACACCGCTTTGCAACGGCCATACCACCAGCATGGATGTTCTCTGGACTGGAACCCCCGTGGTTACTCTACCTGGCGAAACTTTGGCTTCGAGGGTTGCCGCCAGTCAACTGAATACCCTCGGGTGCCCAGAGTTGGTTGCTAGAACCCGCCATGAGTATCAGGAAATCGCTGTCAGACTGGGAACTGATCGAGAGTAGTGAGTTGCCTTTTTTTCATTGAATTTTTACCATTTTATCTATCTTCCACCTTTTTGACTATTTTTTTTTTTACTTTGTTGGTTTTTTCTGCAACAAGTGGAGAATTTAATCCGCTCGGATGAATTCGGATTTCCCATGCAGTAAAACTGAATCGTTTAAATGAACAATAGTAATCAATTGTTGGCATGGGCGGCTAGAATTTCTGTCTGCGGATGTTCTCTATGTCCACTTTTCATGTGATTGAGTTTTTGAATAATTCTTATTGTGATGCACCAAAAATTCGTTGAAGAGAGATTTTCATTTGAGTATCAAAATTCCAGAATAGAATAGAATAGCATACATGGGACTGTAGGGGATGTGAATCCGAATAATCCGATCATAACTACCCTACCACGTGCTCACTGCATCATATATTCTTTATTAAATTCATTATTAAAAAAATGCAAGTGTTAATGAACTCCCACGCTGAGAAAATTGGCACCTACCTCTGTCACGGTCAAAGTGAACTGAATTTTTACACTTCAGCGCGCAGTAACTGTTTCTGCATTCTGAAATATAAAATAACGTACACCACTCGGGCGTTAATTTTATTTTTCACGCGCGTGATAATCGAGCCGAAAACGCCTTCGCCTTCACACGCGCGAAAAAAAAAAACAGAATTAACCCCCTTAAAGCGTAATATATTATTTAATATCAAATTCCAATACGAGATATTTATTTTCCGGATTTATTTTCCCCGGAATTCAATTCCTCACCGGACGATACAATAGATTGTTTATGCCTTGGAGCTCGGAGATAGTAGAATGGACTAATGAAAGATCGACGTAAAAAGAAATGGAGGAGAGGTGCAACTATAACGGTATTCTACTGTAATTCAAGGCGTTTGCCTTTTTTATCAGCGACTTTGTTCTTCGGAATAATTTTATTTAGTTCTTCGAATCTCTCCGGTAAATACTGTAATAAGAAATCATGACTGTTTCCCTGAAATTCATAATAGTACGTTAGACCCATACTGCAAGAAAAGGAGAAAGCTAGCCCGAGAGGCACTGCAGAGTGTTTCAAGAATGAATCCAATTAGAATACTGGGATTTAAGGAAGTACCGACAATGCCCTTTTATTCACTCAGGGATTATTACATCTTTTACATTCCCTCGAATTTTATGCATTTCAGTGAATTATAGTGTGACTATTATATTAATAATTGATTAATTTGTTTTTCAGCTTAAAAGCCATTCGGGCTAAAGTGTGGAAGGCTCGATCAGAGAGTCCCCTGTTCAACTGCAAGATGTACGCAATGGGAATGGAAATGCTGTACAAGAGAATGTGGGAGCGTTTTGCACGTGGTGAAAAGCCAGATCACATTTCTGCGATTGATAGGAGCGAGAGCCAGCAAAATCAGAAAGTCACGACAGCCTCATAAATATGTCTGATATTCTCTCCTCCTCTAAGATCTCATTAACATTTTTGTTCATTCACGTACAGAGAGAATATATTTTCGTTCATTTTGTTGAATTATAAGAGCGAATTCTTACCACGAGAAGTTATGCGAGAACTGCATTAACCATTTGAAGGGCCTTGGGATATTTTCTCCATTATTAATTCTGGAGAAATGCCAATGGGAGAGAGCGCAATGCTGGAGTTGTCGTGGGGCTATTTTCTTTTTGTATGATAGATTGACGAGATTAGGGTAGAACATTAGGAATAATCTACGATACGTGATAATGAGAGGTAAGGGATCGATGGATTTCAGGGTTGATATCACAGATCATTGATGTGACAGATCTGAATGTGGGAATACGACAATTGTTGAGTACACGATGAAAATTTAATTTATTAAATACTGAAAGTCAACTCTCGTGTCAAGGTGTCGTTTGTCTTTCGCTGTTCTGAGAGACCTTCATTTGCTCACTCAATCGTTCAATTTTTCGACTAATTAATAATTTCGGAAGGAACTTGTATAAAAATCTCGAACATAAAATTGTTAATGGGATATACATTTAAAATAGAAATTTGTAAATAAGTAAAACATTAGCTCTACTTATGTTCATTCAATTTTTCGATGATAACTTTCGATTTTAGCGTATACTATGGGCCATACCCTGAAAATATGCGAAAAAAAATTCCATCGAATGTCTGATGTGAAACAAAATGATTATACTATGTGTAGACAACCCGGCATAACTATGTAAATCCAGATAATAAATACAGAATCTATAAGTAAGTGTTGGAGATTAATTTTTCTCTCATTCAGTATTATTCACCGTTTATCACATGATGTCTGTCACGAATTATTTTTACCACATCCATATTGGTACGGAAAATTTCTGTTCGACCTACGAACAGGTGAGTTGACATCCAGATGTCTCTAGGGGCGACGAAACACCCAAAAACTAGATTACGAAACACCTTATCTATTCCGAGAGAACACGAACAAATCCATAAACTAGCAGGTAATCACTCCCTTGAGGCAAAAAAAAAACATGATTGAGGTAAACTGAGGAAAATATTGTTCAAGCGCTGTTGAATTTTATTATGCGATATTAAAAAACACTTGACCCGGATGTTCTCCACGTTTTCTATTCAACGAACGATATTTCGATTTCGTGGAAAATTTTTTCTCCGTAGAGAATCGTAATCGGAAAAAAAAACCCGTAATTTTATCAGCTCATCAACAGATGTGTTGGAGTAATTTTTAATTCCCCTCATGGCTATTCTCGTTGCATCACATCGATGTAACGAGCCTCGTTTTCTATCTAAACCGCCCTCCCCCGCCCACTTCGGGGAATAGGTCAGCGGACTTGATAGCACATTAATTAATTCCAATTGGATGAACCACCGCTCACTGTATGTGGCACACAGTGTCGCTGACAAAAACAATCGGTGAAATATTTTATGAAACCATATGAATAATTCGAAGGATATATTAATCAATGCCCTTTTTTTAACTCCCGTCCTTGTATCGCGCTAGACACCTCTTATCTCTCAGCTCTCCAGATCATTATCAGGAACACCAACGCACTGACTCGTGATTGCCAGTTGATATTTGAGTCGATGGAAAACACTGGGTTTAGTAACCCCAATGCAAATGTATTAAACTTATTCATCCGTGTATCTCTGTAGTACGCAAATTCCTGTTATCGTGTCGAGGGGGGGCGATGGGGGGAATTTCGATGAATTGCCGATTCTCTTGGCAGGTTCGGATACTGATATTGATGACTCCAATTTTATTTCGGCTCATTAACAACTGTTTTTCTCAGTTAGATTAATATACATTGGATTTATTTATTCCTTTAAAAAATCATTAAACAATAGGATTCGGTATGCTCCCATTAATTTTCTATCCAAAAGCGGATTTTTCAGCCATCGAAATTAATTATTTATTAAATATTTATTGATTCATCTGATTCAATTCGCATCGTTAATTCCATTATTTGCAAGATCTCTCCCACGAGAAGAGCAATGGGTTATTAATTTGTTTAATTTTTCAAAATTACAATTATTAATTCAATTATTAATGATGCGCATAAGATAGAAGATAGACGCACCTTTGATTAAATTTTCGAGACAAATAGAGTATTACGAAAAATATTGAATATGACTTGGCTTATATTGTTATTGAGTTCGTTAGATGAAGATTGAAGAACAGTTTGGTGTGCTTGAGATTGAAAAAATCTGGATCCACAATGGTGGATGGGTTCTTCACCGAGTGGTACATAAAAACAAAATAATTAGCCGCGTTATTATTCCACTTGACTGCAGATTGAACTATGATTTTCATTCTCAGTGAGTTCTAAATGACGACGATTCCTCAACGCCAAAACATTCCACATTTCTGAGCTGCGTCAGCACTGATAAGAGATACTCGTGTCAGCATTTTGTCACGGATTTAGACTTGTACATTTGTATTGTAACTCACGTTTCACAAATATTCCAGTGGTTCTTCATTTCCATGAGCTATCCTCTCCTGATTATTATCATTCAGTGACACATTCACAATTACCTTCACTTTGTTTTTTAATCATACTGGCCCATCAATGCGGTATGACCGATTAAAAGTCATAGTTCGTTGTCAGAAAAAGGGCGTTTCCAGGGGCTTGTGGCTGTTGCATGATAAGAGAGATCGACAGACGTTTGGATTTTCTGATTCGTCGACGCGTGCATTTACAAGGAACGGCTGTGAATCATTCTTGCATTAACGTACGTTTTTTTTTTTTTTTTCATTCTTATACCGCTGAAATATTACTTTTAATACTCGAATTCGCGGAGTATTCCATTCGTCATTATCAAATATTTTTAGCTGTCGTCAGCTATTCTAGATAAAATTCATTCAGTGTAATGGATATAAAATGTGGACAGAGAAGTGTTTTTAACTGCTTTAATATTATTTTTTAATTATCTTGTTGAGATATTGAAATATTCTCTGAATTACAACGGAATTAGTGTAGTATGAATAAAAATACTCAATATTTAATGGATTTTATTATTATTCTACTCAATTATTAATAACATAATGCCGTGATTCCGTGGTTTAATTTTTTCCATTCAGTTCAAGGGCTGAAATTCAATTAAAATCTCAGTTTGCTGAATGCCCTTGAATATTCATGAAAATGTCATTAATTATATTCTAATTATATTCTAAAACGCTCAGCGGAAATTTAAGCGGAAAAAGTGATTTTGGAGGTGAATAAATAGACAATATTTATTATAGGTCTACGAGATGAAAAATTCAATACCCAATAAAAAATTCAGAAAGACATTAGTTTATTCAAATTCATTGTAATGAGTGGAGTTGATCACCGGTCAGAGGGTTTTTAATGAAAAAGGTGATTGGCGTCACGATAAATATCGATATTTCAGGGAAAAATTTGGACGAGTGTTTGAGAAACGATTGTTGGGTTCACTGAAATGATAATGTATGGTACATTAATGAGATTAATCAATGAGATTGGTACGAGTCCGTGGGAGTGGAGTGCGATGGAAAAATATGAGCGAAACGGAAGTCTCGAGTAATTTTTTGACGACTCATCGGTAGAGACGATCGGCCTGTTGGCTCTGTTCTCACTCATTTTTATTCTTTCTTTCTTCCGCCTGTACATATGTAGTTGTATGTAAGATATGTACGTATGTGTAAGATGCGTGTGGTGGGCGTCAGGGACGCCTTGGCCTCTCCACGTGTATGACCTCTGCTCGTCCCAAAATTCCCGGCGGCGGTTCCCTTCGTTTCAACTAAAATTCAACCCACTAACTATTTTTCTCAACATTTTTTTATGACACTTTTCTAGGGCAATTTTCATATCTACAACCAGACTACTTACCCTGTCAAATCCCCATGCCACATAATTGGCAGACTCCAGTAAATCGCCGATAGCTTTTCGACTTCAGTATTTTGTCGGCTGTCGGCATGCCAAATTTTCCATAACGGTTTTTCAAGTGTTGCGAAACTCTTTCGTGGAGAAGACTCCATTCCACTGTCTAGAGAATCAACTTGGCTTTTTTTTTCTTTTTTACAGAATTATTTGGTGTTCTCCAGGGGAATGTTGGTGGTTTGGGGAGACAGATTTCGTCGGAATGAATGGGTTTTCTAATTCGGGTGAGAATATTTTTGAGAGATCGTGTAGGGGAGTTGATGGTTTTTCTACCATTTTTTTATAGAATGTCGAGTATTGATGGTGAATATATTTAAATATTTTTTCACTATTAAAGTCTTCATCGTTTGTCATTCACGTGGGGTGCACCCCATTTTTTTGCTTAATTTATTATTGAACGAAGAATGTTTTTGGAATATTTTACCCGTTTTATTAATAAGTGCACAAGCAAAATTTTTCATTATCCATTTCAATAATTAATTGAGAGGAATTACTGAAACTCTCATACGCCCCTGAATTAATCAATATCAACCCTCACTTGCGTTATAAAATCATTGTCAGTCCCAAAATTAATAAATAAACAATTAAATACTCACACCCAATCCATTTTACGAAATCATTTTACTAAAATCACAGAATGACTATCTAAAATGATAAGCGCCTTGTTGATAATGATTTAGTTATCACCCGACTAAATATCAAATTGAATCAACAAATGATTTTTTAATTGTTTAACGACACAATGCATTTAGGATAAAAAAAACATATTCGAAGCCAATTAGAATTTTACGCGCATTCAATGATGTACATTATTATTCCCAATATTTTTCAATTATCTACGATTTTTCTATTTTAAGAGAATTCCACTTGACAGTCCATCAATCGACTAATCCCCAAATGCTTAATTTATCTATTGATTTGTTTAAACCGAGAGAAAAAAAAAGTGAATGGTCCCGCACCCCTCACTCTCTGAAGGGTTGAAAAAATAGTGTTGGGTAGAAATAAATAGAATAAATTGTGCGGAACTGTCAGAAATAGGCAAAGTGCTGAAAATAAATGCTCCTATCACGTAATCTATAGTAATAGACAATTTATATTTCCGAATGAAGTTTGATTATACCATCGCTTGAACTTCATCTTCCTTTCAGAATGAAACCCGTCTCCAGCCGGTCTCTTCTACCACCAGCTTGGAGTACGTCTGTGTGCTTCTGAACGATCATAAATCTCCGACGAGAATAAAAAAAATCATGATAAAAAAACTGGTGAAGTTGAAGTTTGAAGTCAGGGGATGGTTAGAACCCAAGAAGCATAAAGAGAATGAAATGAAATGGTTGTGCAGCCGTCATTGGTGGTTGTCAGACGTCTTCCAAAGGGGAAAAGGAGAGGTGGTGAACAAATCCTGGGATTCCATTCTGTTTTCTCTCCGGGTGTTTCGCAGTAACGCTTAAAATCAAACGAATCAGAATTTTACCTGGAAAGCGGATGGAAACCATTGGCCGATACCTAAGACCTCCAAGGACGACACTGATGAATCTCCGGGATCTATTTTAGGGATTTTTAGTGGTCGAGAAACGTGTTTGAACGGTTACTTCGGGAAAAGAGGCGGTACTCGAGATTTTTTGCCATTGGCCCATTGCCTTTCCTCGCTTACAATTTTCTCAGATATCACATTGAGATAATTGCCATTTTGCTCCATTAAAAATCTGTCCAGAAATTTATAAATATATACCGATCATCGTGGAGTTAATATTTCCAGTTAATAAAATTTGCAATGAATTCAGTGTTCGGAAAATTTAGAGATCTCGTTGATATAATCAATAAATTTATTATAAAGTTCACACGATTTCTTGTCTGGAAATTGGCACTACAGTGCCCACATGTGTGCCAACTTCAAAACATGAGAAACTCTAGATAAAAACGTAATCCGGGCCGTTGCGATGGGGTTTTTTCACTCGTGCGGTTGATAAATCCTCTCCTCCGGTTGGGGCACCAATCCCCGACTAAAAACCCCATGGCACCTCCCGGAAATGTTGAATTTTCTTCGAGTGCTCCAAGTTGGCCCTCGAAAAAAAGCCGACGAAGAGAAAACCGATAAATAAATAAAAAAGGTTATTGCAGTAATTGTTATTACGAAAGAGGGTAACTGGAGCAACTAGAAAATGGGTTATGTGGGGGAGGTCGAGTCAAGTGGGTGGAGTGGGTGGTGATGGCGAGGGGGAGGTATGATAACCCCCTGATTTGAGCGCACTCTCTGGGTGGAAGTTATCGATTACCGGACGAGGCCACCACAGGGTGAAACTGGGTCGAAATGACTCAGGAGAGGGGTTTATGTCGCAAAGGGAGTGTGAGGGGTAAGGAATATGTACAACCCCTCGATCCCTCTTCCTTCTGCCCATTCCACCCCTACCATCCCATCCACCCCTACCATCCCATCCACCCCTACCACCCCTTCCTCCTTTTCCTTCCGTTTCTCCCCTGCGTCCCCTGCGACCCCAGCAACCCCTGCCTCCCCTTCACAACCGCTCACCCCTTCTCCCACTCCCACTCCTGATATGCGCATGGAAATCAGCGCAGGGGATTCACATAAAGAGAGTGAGAGAGAGAAGGGGGCGAGGGGGAGTACGAGGAGGAGAAAGAGAGAGAGGGGTTGGTACACGTTTGCGTTCGCATTTCAGTGTAGGATCCTTGACATAAATAATCAGTAGTAGAGAATCGCGCGGCCCCGGTAGCCATGGCGACGACATCGATCGACGGGCCACGATGTGGCCCGTGTCACTATATCAAATATATAAAAAGATATTCGTAAAAACTACTGTGTTCTCCCCGTTTCCTCCTGATTCTCGGCCATTTCCGGTCAGACAAAGTCCCCATTATTTTTGTACACATTTTCTGCTGCCTCTTTTTTTGTATTATGAAACATTTTTTTTGATCCCGGAAGTTACTACATCTGACCACCTCACATCGGCTCGTCATTATGTCAAATATAAATATGTATAAATGTGTTACTATGTCGAATGCATGAAAAGATGTTGGAAAAAAATATACAATGCGTTTTTCACGTTTCGTTATTGTTCTTGTCTATTTCCGGTCGGCCCCAGTGGCGATCTCGCATTATTTTTTTAACGCTTGATGGTGACTTTTTCTGATGCTATGAAACATTTTTTGATGCCGGAAGTCCAGTACACCTGACCACCTCTCGTGGAGCAGGTGTGAGAACGTCGCGGTTCGACGAACCTGCGGGACAAGTTTTCAAATTTCTCTCTCTAGGTTCATGGATAAAAGGGACATTATTGGAGATCAATTTTTATTTGTAACCTGCAGTATTCGTTGAAGATTTATTATTCACTTATACCTGAATTATTAATTTAATTTTATCATTTAATATTTTATATTTTCCTGACCAGGAAAAATCGTCTCCTGGATATTTGAAGATGATTTCTTTTAGGTCAAGCACTTGGTTCTCAGGATTGATTTCAATTCCCTTTGAGCGAGGTAGACAGGTTGCAAAGTGGATAGAAGGATGTAAACTTCGGAAACGTGTGCAGAAAATCAAATTTTCCCATCCCATCAGACCATTCAGTGATTCGAAAACGGAGAATACGAATAGTCATGACATCAGAAGCCATTAATTTCCCCATAATACGTTTCGAGGCGAAAAATTCCAAAAAGACACGCGTACGTTAATCACCGATCGTAAAAAGATGATTATGATTACTTACCACTAATTACTGATTCTGTGTCATGGCAGCGGCTTTGGTGGACACGAGTTTCGGGGGGGATGACGAGAGCTGGCAGAAGGGGATGTAAGACTTGTACGTGCGCCTGGCCTCGCCCCAGTTACTTCGTCACCCTCGAAAATTCCCCTTCGGTTGTCCCCTACCCCCTGGACCACCCTTAATCCTCTCCTCGGCTCTCCTCTTTTATCCCACTACCTCTACTATTTCTGCACCCCTCATATCGATCAGCGACTGCAAGATGAATCGTTTTTCCTCTGCCTCGTGTTACATCAACTTGGGGGATAAAACTGGGGGAGAATTGCACTAGTTTTTTGGCTGGCCATTGTGCAATTCAGGCGAGTGCAGACAATCGAAGCTGATGGCATCGAGAAAGGTGAATAAAAAACTAGAGCCAACCAAAATGGGGGCTCCCTTCGATATTAGAATTTTAGATCACCACTTCCGGTTGTCATTAGCAACGCAACCGTAGGAAATATTTAATTACAGTTGTTTAACTCATTTCATGATTGGGAATTATATAAATGATGGGCTTTTTCTCATCTCATCTCAATCTGGATTATTCCCGAGTCAATTATTTAACACGTACATTGTTTATGTTGAATGCAGAAAGGCGTCATTGTCTGATGATTTATAGATGTAATTTTCATCTCCATTCGTTCATTTATTTATTGATTTATTTATTTATTTATTGAGGAGTGAATTTTCGTTCTTGGTATGTTGAGATTTGTAATTAAAATTCTAGTTGTAGTTGTCAAGGAATTTAGATATTTCGAGACCCGGAGGAGTGTATCACTATAGCACGATGTGATAGCTGCGATAGTCCCTTATCACTCCGATATCATTCAGTATCCACTGTAGTTCCGGGAACGATTAATTATAATTCCTGAGATTAACGATTTGGACTACAACAATTGCCTGCTGGCTTCCCCCGATTTTTAATTACCTCCGGAGATCTGGAGTCCATTCTTGTTGTCTAAAAATAATTACTTAATCAGGCCCCGAGTGGTTCATCCGTTGGGACTAGATGTGAATGAGATAAATAATCACTCTTCCCGTGAATTACAACCAAATTTGTTTACATCTAAAATATTATTGATATTATTAGTATTTCCTTTTTTCAAGTAGCAATCTATTGTATTATATATTATATTGTTTTCTCGGTATCCGTAAATGATATAACGAGGATTAGTGAATGTAAATGCCGGATGATCGTGTAAATGTGAAAGATCCTCAAGGTTCCCCTAGATTAGCCTGGCCTCTGTACCGTCACTAACTACTCGCTAACTAATAACCATGCACAAACGGCATAGTTGCCGTCATGCGCAAAGAGATTCTAAATGCCAGATAAATTCTACTCTGTTGAAATATCCTATTCCTGTAAATGGAAAATTACAAAACTGTTGTTTTTTTTTTCAACGCCACCGCGGCCAGGAAAAAAAATTGCACAGTAGTAGAGAAACATGCGAATAAAATATTTGTCATTACGTCAATCTATTTTTGGTGAGTAATTGTTATAAATAAATGTTCTTCAATTGGTGTTTTTAATTTTCAGAGAATGATTAATGGCTGAGAGGGGAGGTTTTATGTCAGTGATATCACAAGGGCTGCAGGCAGTCCTGGATAAGGACCGAGAAACAAAGGGGCTGACTCTGATACGGATAAATGTAACGAGCCCATTACAGGGTTTGTTCTCCCTTTTTTTCTGGACTCAACAGCTTCAGTCTGGTGTTACTACACGAAATCATTCCCAGGATGAGGGCATAAAAGTCGAGTATTTTTTCAATGTACCAATCCTGACGAATAAAAAGTGACGAATAGAATAAAAAACATTGAGTTTGAAACACGAAGAGATTCTTTGAAAAAGACAATATAATAATAATTTCACCGTTTTGAGAGAAATATACAATTTCTTTCTTCTAGGCAGGAGAATAATTTCCTTGTTCTCGGATAAATGAGAAATATTATTAATTGGGGGAAAAAAAAATCTCCTCCTCTTTGTCTCATCCATCTGGCCAACTCATTTATTAATTCACGCAGTGACGGAAAACGAGTCACGGTAAAACGATTGGATTAAAGGATCCCCAGCAATTCCTCTTCATCCACTCGAACATTGAATTTCACTTCGGTATAATTAATTAAATCACCGACTAGAAGAATATGAGAGTTACGTTATGCCCATGTCTTTCCGGGAAATCTATTTTACGATGTGTTTCGCTCGTATGAGTGCATCAGAGGAGTCAAAGTATACATCAGTGTGTTTGTTACATAAGAAAACTTCTGAGGTATATGTCCATGTATCCACATCTCTGACTTACTGAAGATTCAAATGATCCGGTGATAAACCCACCGAGACGATGCATCAGCGAGGATTTTTTTTCTTTCATTAAAAATTTTTGTTGGTGCAGCAAAAAAAACAGTAAATAAAATATAAAAAATTGTTGGTACCTCGTGTGAAATAAAATCGGCGGGCTGGAGGGTTTTGTTGTCGTCGCGATATAAATTTTCTCGTGGAACATATTTCAAAGTTGGATGGAAAAATATGAGAGAATAACGCCTCGAATGCAATATCGAGAATACATGCATAAAAACGATATCGTACGATGGCTCGACCATGATCTGTTCTCAACCCCTCCTTCATATTCTTCATCGTAGATATCGTTCTTTGTGCAATGCCTCAATGGGATTACTCCTTATCATGATTGTCGCTTCGATTTCTCAGCATTGAAATATCCACGTGGAGCTGATACTCTGATAAAATTGGCCCATGGAAAATTCTAAATTTCCGTGTTTTCCGATTTAATGTACTTCACGCATCTGAAATCATCATCAATCAAGAAAAACACTGTCGACATTGTTAAGTACTGGTGATAACTCAGTCTGGTAACGCCTCCTCTGAGTCATACTTACGATATTATGACATTTTATATATCTAGAATTACATTTGATTGATAGGAAATTTCGATTTTTGTGGATTAGTAGCCGATAGTTTTATTTCATTTAAAAAATCTTTTGCCACTGTCATCTATTTTTGAAGTTGAGAATTTCCATTTGTAATAATGAAGGAATAATGAATAATATATTTGCAGTATATTATAATTTTTTTTTCGGCTCAATCTTCCTTGTGAGTATTTCCAAAATTCTTACTAGGTCATCTGCAAGTATGTGTTTTACTTCACAAAAAAAAAAACGATTGGAATAGATTTTTTTTTCCGATCTATTCTCTGGCACATGCGATGGTATCTGTAACTCCCGAGTCATGAAGCAATTTTTTCTCCCATTTATGAATTCCTCCAAAGAAATAACATAATCGTAAAAAAGCGTGTCAAGTGAACGGGTTAGGTTGGAGATGAGTTGATATGTCAGAAGAATAGCTGATTTCCACTCAAGTGCCTGAGAGTTGGTAACGATGTCTGCTTCAAGGCTGAAATCCCCTTTTTTTATGGTTACGCAACAGCACACCGAGCGTGCGGCGTTGCAGAGAACTTTTTGCCTGAAAATGAGAAGGGGTTTTATAGATGTCTTGCCTGGAAGAAGGTGGAGTTTTATAGATGTAGGAGGCCAGTGCACGTGGGATGTCCCGTCACATTTCATACAGCAGTTTCAAGTTTATAGCGCCACAGGCCCTTATTAGAAAGCTCAAAGACCCTCCTCACTCCTCAATTCGTTTCGTGAAACTAAATGATAATTTCGGAGGACCAGTACCAATTATTGGCATTTTTTCACTCCTGCTGGGTATTAAATTATGTTTCAATTATGTTTCAATTATGTTTTAATTATGTTTCAATTATGTTTCAATTATGTTCAATCTGGCTGACGCTATTGGCTGATGATGAATATTATATATGATTTTTCCAATTGATGAGTTCCAATTTCGGGTTTTTTTTTAAGGGATTACATTTTTTTAACAGTTTTTTCATCGTTTTTGAGAGCTTTGGCGCATGTCGATACCGAAAAATGCTTTTTCTCCCTTTTTTTCAGTCCAGAAGGTTTTATTGTTGCTTCCGTGGCGAATGTGTGGAATCAATTGTTGGTTGATTAAAGAATAGCATTTTAAAGAAATAAATCATTGATATGGTGTGTCATAAAATCGTGTGATCATGACCTATTTTGTTGGATGTAGTAATGCCATCATAAATCGGTCATGCGGCAGTTATGTAACGGTCATATGCCGCGTCACACTTCTCGCACATCCCTAGTTCAGTAGTTCATTCTACTCTTTAAATAAAATTGGGCACTGAAAATTTAAATATCAAAAAAAAAATTCCTTTTAAAGTCCAAATTGAAATATGAATAATATTGATAACGAATCCCTGAGAATCCTGAAAATCGTGAGTTTCCTGACTGATTGCAGTAATTAATACAAATAAAAACCATTCCCCATTTGATTCTCTCTTCCCAGTCAATTTTGAGGATTGAAATCTTAAAAATATTATAATATTGATTGCAAGTCCCTGAAAATCCTGGTAATGGTGAGTAGCTTGGCTGAGTGCATCAATAAATGACGTTAAATGTAGAACGAGGGAAGCCCGCGACCCACATCGTAGTATCGCCAGTTGGAATGTAGGCCAGGCACACTCGTACACAATTCTAGTGTATATACCACATGGATGCACGCAGAAGCACATAAAATGTACCAAACAACACGCGGGACAAGCAAGAGCGAGCATTAAATAGGTTCTCGGCTTGACTCTGTCAGAGACAAAGAGAGGCACCAGAGAAAAAAAAAAAAAGAAATTGACAAAGTCCCATTGTTAACTGTACCATATATCTTTTTTTTTTCTCTCTGAAACAGAAATGACATGCACGGCTACGTTATACGTGAGAGTGCTAGTCGCCTGAGTGTTCAAAGGTTACGAGTGTCTCACTCCTTGTTATATTTATAGTTGGACGTGTGTGAGACATGGTTGGGTGTTGCCTTGGAGACGCTTCTTCACGGGTAATCACACGAGTACAGCCAATTGTCCTAAAAAGAAAGAGGTCAAAGTGTTTCAACAATAATACCGAAAAGCCACGGACTCTATTTCGGCTTCGTTATGCATTCCCAAGTGTCGCGTAAAAATAATTTTCATACCATCATTGGTCACTTGCTGGAGGTAAACTCGAGTATCAACCAGCACCTGACATTTTCCCACCTAAATCGAAATAAATTAAATGAAATTACTTGGATCGTAGGCAACGTGGTCAAATCGTAGAGATTGTCTATTTTTGGACTATTTTATGTTGCCAGGTGGAAAAATTCTAGGCGTCAAATTTTTTATTATTCTGAAGATGAAAAATCTCAGGGAGATTTCATTATTAACTAATTAATTACTCAGGAACTTTATATATTTACAGAAATATTTATTGGTCACCCGACGGACAACAGGATATATTTCCGTAAAAAAAATTCCGTGTCTTATCTAATTATTTGCATATAAGGGATGCTGGGGTAAAATGAACACCAATGAAAAATGATTTCATTCATCGAAAGGGCTGAACGGCGAATGTTTTTTAAACAAAATTTATTACGTCGTTAAACAATGAAAGAATAATTATTTTTGTAAGGAATTAATTTTCAGAAGACGTCTATCATTTCAGACAGTCGCTCTGTCATCCAAGAAAGACATTCGACAATATTCATTACTCCTACATGAATTTAAATAAAAACCTGTCGATGTTACCCTACACCCCTCTATATTTTTTATTCAGGGGGTGGATTTCTGGGATAGCTGCTCCTAACAGAACCATCTCATGGATTATTTTTTTCTTTTCGTAAAGGAGCAATTTATTTGGAAACTATTTGTACACCTTATTCGGCGTAACAAGTTCCACGACGTACGTGATCGACCATGGAGAAATGTCTAACGGTTTTCTCAAAACCGCCCACCAACTTGCGACAGAGTTGTTTTGTAACTGAAGAATAATTGGGTGGGGGGCTGCATGCAGTACAGAATAGGGGAGGGCCTAGTTGCTGCACACTAGGTTATCGCTTTCCACACATCGGCACGTTCAATTGCATTCTCGAGATGTCTAAGAGCCCTAGTGCATCCATTAGAAAGCTTGGAAATCAATTTTAATAAATTACCGTTTTAATTTAACGAGCCATCTACAGAGTTACAATGTTGAATAACAAGTTTTACGCTGGAATAAAAATTATACAATCATCAGTAGACCGGAGTGTTCATTTCCATTTGATCATTTTCGTCAATAATTTTACTTCTTTGACAGGTGATTATAGGCTTCAAAGTAGCTTTTACTGCTGCGTACGGTGTATATTTTAAATTATGACATTTCTCATCATCATATTTATCAATTAATTTTTTTTTTACGAGAAATTCATGGATATACTAGTTGTTGAGATCTCCACAAACGTTTTGTTTTTTCACTTGGATTACCTGATTTTATTCGAATTGTTCATAATAATGGAGAAGATTGCCAGTGATTTGTCGTGTATCAATAAATAAATAATATTAATAAAAGATATTATGACTGTAAAATGTTTAAATGAACGAGCGACTGTGATGATAAACTCAAAATTCAAAGAAATATTACAACACCTTGAATAAATAATTGATAAATTAATATTGAATATTCAGTGTCTGCATTGAGGTCGAATAGAAGAGATTCAAACCGTGTTTTCACGGCACACTGAAGTATATTTTAAAATACTTGAATCGTATCCAAAAGTTGCCAGGTGGTATGGAAAAGCTGAGGAGAAAAGGGCAGGCATTTGAGTTTGCACCGCAAGACCGTACGGTGATATGCATATGGTGTATGCACATCACATGCATATATTTAAATTCGTCTGCCTTATGCATACACATTAGATCACAACCCACCGAAGTAATGCCATACACATGCAAATAATTCAGGTACACATACACTGAAAACTAACTGCAATGCCAAACAGTGAAGCTGAAAATACAAAAGATAAAGATTCCTGACACGAATTTTCAAGCAATAGGAGTGACACGTGAAGTAAATCCCAGAGAAGAAGTAAATGGAGAAGGATGATAAATAACTGGTGATAGGGACAGAAGGGAGAATGAGGTACAAATTTAATACGTTCCAATTTAACGTTCTCATCATCCTCTATTGAGACATTGAAGATTCGTGAGTAAAGGGGGTCCACCATCATTCGTTTCATACATACACTTCCTGCCTTGTATACATCATTATGCATACAAGCAACCCCGTGACACAAACGCATGATTAACAGCCCACGTACACCAAGTGCTCTCCCGGGCTATTTATCGTGCGTGTTACCCATGAGTTCTAGATGACAAGAAATATATATTCTGCTCTACGCATCACCAACCCACCAGATCTATTCTTTTGGGGATTGTTCAATATCTCGGTTAATCGAAAAATAATAATACGAAAAAAATATTGACCTTATGCCTGTCATTTCATCTCTCTTCCCAGGATGAATATTTTTATGGACGAAAATGATGAAAAGTGTGGGATGTCATTCTCATGGGGGTGTTCTGGGTGATGTGCACGTCGTTTTATTTAAATTGGTGTAGGCAATTAATTCTGGTGAATACACTTCTCGAATCGCAGAACGATTATCTGAAATGATACGCGCTTTGTTGAAAATCATTCAATTATTGTCAGATTCAATGGCAAATGGAGGCTTTCGACGAGAATCATTTTTTTAATTGGGTAACGGGGTGATAAATTTCGTATGAAAAATGGGGTTGAAGCGCAGGCGATTAGAATTTTAATTACATATGTACATTATTACTAGCGATTCGTTGATTATCTCATTTTTATTTCGAATGGTTTATGGTGTGTGAAAAAAATTGTTTGAGTGTCCGATGATTTTTCAGAAAATTCAACTTAAACTGGAAAAATTCGCACGTGTATCCGCCGAATTAAAACAAAATCGATAAGACGAAGGTAAAACTCGAGGGGGATGGTACACACATGTATCAAAACGTGTGGATAACAAGCTATTAATTTTCGTGGATGTTACCGGATATAGATGATACCGATACACCGAGTAGCGATGTGACCCCTCGGGTATCCCTATCCCATTTAATCCCTTCAATTTATGGATCACTGCGTCAGGCCGTTGACAATACATCCAAAATATCTCAATACCTACAACGCAATTTCTACATCAATTACATCAGTTGTATATATATTTTCATGGATTAATTGTCCAAATTCTCAAATTTTTAGGTACCTCCGTAGTATGTTCCATTGACATGTGACATGTGATATAATTGCTCTCGTTACAACATCATTACCAAAATTGGAATTATCTAATCAGTAGTATAATTTCAATTTTTTTAATGCACATCTCAATTTTAGAAGGCTGTCGCTTGAAATTTAGTAATCAATGCACAAAATAAATAAAACAATAATGTATGTAAATATGTAAATATTCAAAGTTAATACACTGTACAAAATAATAATAATTCGTCAATGCACCGGGAGGTGTATGCAGGAGCATACGTAAGGCTTTGATATTTTAATATTTCACATAAATAATTATCCCGGAAGTGCGTTAGGAGAAAATTTGATGGATTGAATTGGGGTGGTTGCCCCATCAAGGAACCTGAGGAAATACATCCAATTATTTTTTTGACAAATCACCAGGACAAGCTGACCTCCCCATTGAAAATAAATCCTGCTCACGTATATCTCATCCTCAATTCTGCACACTTGTCCCTCGGCATATCCAGCAATGAAAAGTACAGTGAAGGGACGAAGAATGGGAGAAGGTAAAGGAAGAGGGATAGAGCCGAGGCAAATCGGTTACAAAATGTACCGGCAACACGCGCAACCGTTTCAGGTCCCTTTGTTATAAACCGAGTGAGAGACATGGGAATGTGTCCATGAGTAGGTGAGAAAGAGCCTTGGAAACAACGGGGACCTACGTTATAAACACTCAGACATTATTTCCCATCGACTTTTTCTCTATTCATCTCGAAGGGACGAGAGAAAAAGGTAACTAAAAAATTATGGGGAGGGAGTGTTTATCGCCGGGTGAAGAAAGACTCGAATAAACACGTGGTTGCTCTGATGAAAGGGAGGTTGACGTCATGGAGGGACGAGCAACGGTTCCATGTTCTCAGGGACATTGAGGAAAGAGACACTTTGGTGAGAGCATGGCCCAGCCATTCAAAGATTTTTCACAATTTCATTTTGTTGACGGTTTTTTAAAATTAATCTCTGAGAATTTTCTACATCAATCGGCGTAGATTGATAAGTCGCTTACGTAAGATGCGAACGGTGGGATCAAGGCGAACCGGTGTTGGCACTCTACTGGCACACATGTCGGTGGAGGTGGTATGCCAGAAAAACCTGAGGGGAATTAGGGAGAATCTGCGAGCCTGCCAAACTGCCTCTACCGGAAATCCCTGGTTCCCGCCTATTCTTTAACCTTCGTCGTGACTTAGCCATATTGCCACAGCTTTTTCAGCTATTGAGTTATTTTGGTGCTCCACAATTGCTCAATTCAGCTTGACAAACTCCATTTTTTGGTGTTTATTACCCTCTCGTAATTACCCCGCAATTGATTGACATCAATTTCATTGATGTGAATGAGCCATCGATTTTTTTTTGTATAGCAATTTTGTAAAATTGAAAAAATGGAAAATATTATAGGGTTTCTTCGGGTTACCGGAAGTACCTCGTTGTCAGCGCCAAGAAGTAAAAAGTCTGAATAAAAATTGGTATCACGTTGATTGGAGTTGTCTGGGCTAGGTCCATCAGTTTGTGTAAACAGGCCTGAGTGTTGATGTAGAGGTTCGCAAGGGGTTGAAAGGGAAATTGGACCCAGAGGCTGTGGGGTAGAAGGAAGATTCGTTGGAATGGAAGAGACGGAAATGGGACGAAATGCTGGTTATCCGGGCTAAAATTAAACGGCAACCCAGAGTCCATTAGTTTGAGATGCTCCATCTTAATTGATGTAACAACGTAATTAACATTGAAATTCACCCATTGCCGTGATATTAGCAATTTACGATTGACCATCTACTTGCACTGACCTTCGCACAGTACGAGGAAGAAAGATAAATATATTTACGAGCCGATCTCTTGGATTCTCCATTCATGTATGAGATGAGCATATTCGATGAGAAAAAAAATTGCAAGAAGGGGACAGAGGGGTGTCGTGTCTTGCAATTGCGGAAACGGTCACTCGGAGATATTCCAAGGCCAACAAGAGAGGGGATTCGCACGTGATAGCCCAGGAAACAGAGAAGCAAAAAAAAAATGAGAGAGGAGAAAGAAATAAAAGATCGGGAAAAAAAAACCACAGTTAAAAGAGGTTGGAGGGGAACTCAATGAAAACCCGATGCGTATAACCAGTTTGGCCATGTCTGTAAAGGGGTGTCTCTTCCTGAACTTCTATACATCCCATTCCCAGTTTGTCCACCAAGAGAGGAAGGAATTGTACCAATACCCACATAATTCACAATTCATTACCAACATATGACGAAAAATTGATTAATTTTCCCCTCGCAGAGCATAAATTCCGATAAGACCTCGAAGCATCGTAAATTCTGAAGGAAAAAAAAATTGAAATTAAATACAAAAAAAAAAAAATTCCCGACCTGGTTTCACGCTGAGAAGAATCTGATTGTCAAAGTCATTATGAATCAGAGAGAAATAAACACTGAGTGATCGAGGCTGGGGATAAATAGAAAGACAAGTAAGAACCGAGAGCCCGACGCAATCTCGCAATATTGTTGCAAAATCCCCGACAAAATGATAAAAAAAAAAGAACCGAATGATCAATACTAATGATATTATGAGCAATGATGGCCGATTGATTCCGCACCGTTGCATCCCACGTGGTGGGGGTCGTCCTTGGTTTGTCCTTGAAGGATTCTCATGCGTAAAAAGGGGCCCTAAACCCCTGATAGGGCGTGGTCTACGCACCCCCGCAGGCTCGCAATTTTATCGGCCATTTTGAGCCCTCGGTTTGAGGGAAAAGGTGGGACGGGCAGATGAAACTTTTCCGAAGGGGGTTCCCAGCATATCCCCAAAATCTCTCTCCCTTCGCATTTGAATTTGTATCTAAAGTAGGCAGGTAGCAGAGGAGGGACGAATTCCTATGGCTCGACAAAACCCGCCTCGTAGAACTCGTTCTCAATTTTTTTTTTCCGACGCTTCCCCACAACCAACTTGTTTTATTGCAAGAACAAAATGTCATGCTAAATAATCCAGTGGGATTGGCACCCGAGTGGCATTATTCCTGCTAACCAAGTAGATACGAATGAGTTGAATACATTTTTCTCGGAGGCTATATCATCGCCGTGTCTCTGATAATACTCTAGCACCAGATAACTGCAGACAACGCATCTTCCTGTAGAATAATAACCGGAGAAACCTTGAGGAATGACCATTTCATAATCGACAAGTATTCGCAACGGGTAATTTCCAATTACAACATTATCATAAAACTATTTAATAGCCTGGGCGCGCTATACTCATCCCCACCAACTTTACACCGATGTTTAAAAAAAAAAAAATGAAAAATATATTTATATTTTATACGAGTCGGCAAGTTTTCCTGATTCATCGCTGCATTATCAGTGCGGTGAGAATAGATTTTTCGCGAATGCAGCATTGCGCATAATTGTCGGAGCTCTTTCTTCATGGAAGAATTGATGGAATAGAGAGAGATTTGCTGGTTGTGCACGGGTTTCTTTTTTCCGTCCCAAGGCTAACCCATTCTAACAACATACTTTGTACCCTAACGCACTCCTGGTTCCCCTTTCCCATCATTTTTTTTTTCTCCCCACCTCCTTCCTATTCCACGACGTTTCGTTTCTTTTCAACGTTTTGGCATGACCCAAGTCGTTCTCTCATTCTCCAGCGTCTCAACTCCCAGGCGTTTTTATATTTTTCTCTTAGGCTGGAGGAGAGAGACGGAGAAGTGAAAAAAAATCCAGTCGCCCTTCCACACTCTTGCTGTTTCTTCTTTTGAGGTCTTTTTTTACCTGGAAACCGGGTGTGTGGAATATGCCCCGGACCCGCTTAGCAGTGATGTCATCCGCAGGGCGTTTTCACAGGCAGTAGTGTAATACAACGGGTGATGCCACCGTCGGTTAAACGTATTCTTTTCAATTGAATTCAAACAGCCATTCGCACACAAAAATAGCACACTGAGAGACAACGGGTGTGCATCGCGCCAACGAATTGTCCGCTGTAATCGTGAATTTTAATCATTTATTTTAGCCCGTTATACCGTACGACGCGGGGTAACGTGACTTCTTCATTTCATCACTCTTAATTTCATCTAATTGGGTTAAATAGACGGGGGAGAGTAGCCACATTGTCGAGTTGAAATAAAAAGAGAATATGGATTGAATCAAGCCCACGTGACCGTGCGAGCGTAAATCGTGTCTCATTGGGCCTCTCTCGGGGCGAAACGAGTAATTTCCTCATTTCACGGACGGAAAGCGTAAGCGGCGCCGTTTTAATTTCACTCTGGCTGCTGTCTCAAATAAATATTCACGTCCAGATAAATCGATTGATCAGTTGAAATTTCAGTTGAAATTTCAGTTGAAATTACCCGTTAATTTGACGGTACGCTCATAATGACTTCCTCCTATTCAATCATTTGCCACCATCCACCGATTAAATTCTCAGGAAGATGTGTGCGCGTGCCTCGAGCTCCCAAGATATCGGCGAAACAATGGCAGATTTTAATCTCCATGGGGGGGGCTATTTTTCTCGGGACAAATAATCGCGTAACACATATACGCAGTGACGAAGGACAGGAAGTGTGTTCACCGCACGAACGTGCATGGCCTTCCTGGCGCGGCGAATTATTGTCCAGTGTGGAATGAAAACTAAAAAAATTCCCGAGGTGAAACGATGGAGTTGAAAAAAAAAAAAAAAATTAACATGGAGCGGATAAAACCGGGGAAATCGTTGGAATGTGTTTGAAAACTCCATTAGCAATTCGTAATGTGCGACCGCGTGGCAAAGATGGCCGCCGGGTTGCCTCGGCTGTGAGAGAAAATGGCGGGGTTTATCTCTCTCACTCGCGCGTATGTATATTAAGCTTTTATATCACCACTCGGTTCGTGTGGAATCCACCTGCACCTTCTCAAATACCGATCCACGTTGCTAGATTATCTCTAGCACTAATTCTCCATGATTACGAAAGAAAAATAGGGCGCAATTGTGTCGACATAAACTAGTGGAGGGAAAAATTAAGCTCGGGTAATTAAGTAAAAAGAGGGTAATGCATAAAGAGAAAAATTGAGGAGAAACGGGCAATTATTTATAGTAGGTAAAGTATATAACGTGCAGACGAGAAAGGCAAAGTTGTTTGAGCGTTTAGAAACAGCTTGGGGTTTGGATATCTGTCGATTACGAAAGTAAGTGGATTTAGAAAGTATAAGTGGGACAGGGAGATTTTGTAGAATGGGAGAAGGACAGGTAATGGAAGGTGAACGGTGTTGTAGTTGGATTTCTTGTACCACTTTTGCCTGGCGGGAAGTGAAATAGCTAAACTATTCCTTTGACTATTTAACTGATGTGAGGGGCTAGCTCCAGCATTTTAGTTTCAAGTGATTATTTCCAGCAAACCATAATGAAACAAGCGATCCAGGGGATTAACAGGAAAACAGACAATTGCCAAAGGTTGAGCGCCACGAGGCGAGCCACCGCAGGGCGTGTGACTCAGAAATAGAACAAATGGTTTAATGGACCTCCACGTGTTTAAATCTTTAAAAATAAAATCCGATGGCACATCGGACTCGCTGCAGTGTTTCCTCTGAACCCAGAGCCTCAATGTGTTACACAGCAAGGGGAACATAGTTTTCACTGCTGAGTCCGTGTATGAATGCAAGTGTACACGAAAAAATACAGTAAATCGTGGTATATCGTATCTTATTCAGAGTATTCACTGTTTGTACCTCGGTAGTGGATGAGATGATAGGTCCCAGAGTCGATAGGAGAGAGAAAAAGACTGACTGATAAGTCATAGCCAAGCCAGTTTCTCACCCCCAGTGACCCAGCGACTGATTAAGATTCCTCCATTCCTCTGGCAATTATATTTTCCGATAAAGTTTAATTATTGTTTTTCATTTAACGATTTTTTTTTAGAGAGAGAGAGAGAGAGAGAGAGAGAGTTCTAGTGTTGAGAGGGAACGGGGTATTCCCAGCAGCTGCCGACGCGTAACTAAACCAACTGGTTCAAAACGTTAGATCACACACTGCCCCAGCTAGAGCCAGCTCTACCCACGGATTGGTCACGTGATTTTGCTCGTTGCGTCACAAGTTACCCCACACCATTCCACGGGGGCTTCCAACTTGGAGAGCGCGCGCGCGCCACCATTCCTCTCCCTCTCCTTCACCCTCATCCAATCTCTCTCCTCTCCTCTCCTCTCTCGACCACCGCCATCTTTAACCATTCCGACTGGACACCGACCATTTTTCCTCCCCCCCCTTTTCTCTCTTTGCCCACCTCCCACCACCCCTCGCACTCACTCGCTGTCTCTCTCTCTGTTCCCGTACCCATTCCCCTCTTTTCTTCGTATTTTATTCTCGCGTGTTCTCGTTTCGGTGAATTTCAGATTCCTTCTTTTTTCACGGAGGCGTTTTTTCCCCTGTTGCCACGCAGTACTACCGCAGCTATACCGTCCCATTCTCAATCACTCGGATTTTTATGATTTTTCCGGGGTTTTATCAGGCTCAATGGGCGATCGTGACGAATAATGAGGACGCGATTGTGAGGGGCGATGGGAGAAGGGAAACGCAGATGGTCTCGAGTCCCAGATTATAACGATGGAATTCACGTACACTTGAGGTGAGGAGACATTTATATGCACATTGAGAATTATAAAAATGAATGACGAGGGTAAATTGAAAGATGAAAGGGGCAAATACAAGAGAACAATTCGGGTGCCAAGGTGAAAAAATTGAGAAGAGAAGATGAGAAAAGAATGAGATTGAAAGGAGCGCGTATTCCCGAGGCAGGTAATGTACGTACTATTTGTTTCTTTACAAAGCAGCGATGTGGGCCCCGTTGAAAGGACGTGAGGCACAGCTGGCTATTGAAATCCGGTGACCCAGTTGATACCTCAATATGGTGAACGCTGGTGTGCAATGCGGAAGTGCCCGTTTTTCTTGATTTCTGATTGACTTTATTATCACGAAATTACCACGGTACTGTTAATCACACTCGGGACATAAGAATTCCAACGAAAAAACTCCGATGAAAAAAAAAAAGTTAAAAAACAAATTACGTTAAACGCACCAGATTCTTACAGAATCACTTGGTAAAATCACGTTATTGCCGTTGGACAATTGAGTTTCTCCGATATGGTGGCAAAACCGGGTTAATTCGAACAAAGGAATTGAAGATATAATAAATGATTCACGGGCTCGAGGATAGAGTCCCCGGAGGGTAACACACAACCGACTCGGATGGCGTGCTGCAGCGAACGAGAATGTCTAGTCTGAGAATCTGCCGCGGCACTCTAGGTCGCCCCCACTTAATCTACTGCAGCGTTGGCACGTCTGCGCACATCTGCACACGATGGGATTGGCGGATTGGAGGGACGCGCGAGCTGCCGATTGGATCACGTGATGACAAAGCTCTTGGCCCGGGGTGGAGGAAGGGGAAGGAGAAGGGATAGTGAGTGTTGAGTCGTTGCCGAGAGGAGAGTAATGCGAGGTGAGGAAATAGCGGAGGGATTTTTGTATGTACTCTGGTAGGGACTTTGGTAGAGACTTTTGTAGAAGGGGAAATAGAGCGCGCGCGACGTTTTTATAAAACGGCGAAACGTCGTACCACGGGCGACGGTCGAACAGGAACTGGCTGTGCAGCGTGCGGTAACGCGTTACTTATGCCAGCGCTGAGCCATCGGTGTGGGAAACGAGGGCTCAAACAATGATGTGGCCCTCTTCTCTTTCCCTTCCTCTTCGATTATTTATTTTATTTTTTTTTTTTTCCTCAAATTTCGTGGAGAGAGGGAAGGATACTTGCACCGGGGGGCGGGATTCCATGGTAGAGGGGTGAAAAGGGGCTTTGGACACGTGGGAGGTTTTCTGGACGCACGCGCGATCAACGGCCAAACGACGAGTACTTCTTACCCCTCGGGTATTGAGAATTTTTTTTTCCCCTTTTGAGTCCTTTTTCTTGGACTCCCCCTCTTGGCTTTTCACCAATTTCCGCGGGCACGGCCCCTTTGAACCCTCGGGAATTCGCTAGGTCTTATTGTATGGCCTTCTGAATCTTTCCGGCAGACTGCATATATGGGTATTTTGGGAGTCAACTCGCCGGGGTGAGACCTTCGACCTATTTTACTATCGATCCGGTGGGCTTGAGGCGTTAGAAACATTTCAAATGTGGGGGAAAAGTGGAACGCAAGGGGGTGGAGGGGGTTCTGTCGGTTCTGGGGGAATTTCTCGGGTTCAAGACGGGTTCAGAGATTTTTAGGGCTTTGGGCGAGATTCATTGCGCGTGGAATTATTCATTTTTTTTTTCTCTTTGAGGAGAGTCGCCTCGAAAAATGAAAGCTGTCATTTTGTGGATATGTGACGATAATGTGGGGGGTAGACTTGAATATTGATGGTTTTAACAAACAACGTTTTACGTTCTCATGGGGGAGCAATCCATAATGAAATGTTTAGAGTACATTTTCAGAGTTCTAGGACATTTACGCAATTTTTTTTCAACTGAAATATTAAATTGGAATTTTCTGCGAACAGAGCCGAATATCGATAACTTCCCCGTACCAATCATTTTTTTTTCATCAAATATTTTTTTTCATTACAACAAAATTCCTACAAGTGCTTTCACTTAAATCGCGAAACACCTCGCTTACTCAAAAATTGTAATTAAACCGTAGTGTTCCTAAAATAAAAGGACTCTTCCCCGGGACAAATTTTTTTCCCTCTGGCTTGCCGCTGAAACCTCAGATTTAATCTACCCCCGACTCCGCGAAAGACAATCTTTCCAAATATACCCACTATTAATTCCACCGACGATCGTCAAGTCGTGTCTTTTAATAGTTCCCTGATGAAATGCTGTTCTATTTGCGTTATCACCTCCCGCGCCCTCGAATTTCCCAACAATTAATTACCGAAAGTTCTTACCGTGATTGAAATGCGAGAGTGATTATTTGTAAAAATTCGGCACGCGATGGATTGAAATGAAGACCGAATTGAAAGGGACGAAGGGAGAACCATTGGCGTAATATCCCTCGGTACTATTTTTCCATTCGGGATGGCGATGATACCCGTGAGGAGGGGGAATTCATAAGGGGTAGAGAGGGAAAATATAAGTAGGTCGCTTGGAGACCCGCACGTGTCGTCCTTGACTCACATAGTGATGTGCGCAAGCGCTCGGTTGCTCTACGGTTGCCGCATTGCCGTTCACTAGGGCTCTTCTTTGTTCTCCCCATCCTACGAGAATTACAGACTCTTTGTGTGGGTTTACCGTACTCACAACACAATGAACAGATAATCAACACGTACCAATCGTTCATTACTTCTTTCGATCATTATTTTTCGTAGATATCAATTTTTCTGACAGTTTATTAACAAAAATTGTCAACACTTATCCCCCCATGGAGAGAAACATTGTATAAAAATTACGTGCTTGTTCCGCAATCCACCAGTCAAAACTGAACTTTCAGGAAAAAGCATGTAACTGTTCTGTAATTTTCACGAAATATAGTTTTGACTCTCAGATTACTCAACAGGCACGTAATCTTTTAATTAATTTTTATCGCATGTTATGAGAATCACAGAATGAATAGATAATTGATATATATCGTCCATCGTTCAGTGGTTCTTTCGGTAATTATGTTGGAGATTTCTATTTTTTCAAGTTTGTTAAGAAAAATTGTGAGGAATTGTTTAAATAGCTTCAGTATAGCTTGCACAATAAACTGATAATAATATAGTTCTATCATGAAGTAGATTGATGTCGACAGCGCGGTCCAAGTAGTAACCCACATAGATTACGGAGCATTAGGCTTGGATTCTAAACTTATCAAGTTCATTTTTATAATTGTGAGGGTAAAAATTAAGGTAATTATGAAGTAGGCCCAATCACTGGCCTAGGGGTATGATTACTACTAGGTAATAAAAGAAATGATAATAGCAGGATCGGGGCCTCATGTCATATAGCACTAGGTGAAACCCAGAATGTGATGTTTTATGGTTTAAAAATCAATCAATTCTTTCCAAGATGAGTTTTAGGTTGAAAAATAGTGCGAATCTATTCACTGTACGGTGAATTTTCGATGGAAAATTGGAAATTTATTTTTTTCTCGGTTATAAATGTCGTTTGCAATTATTCTATGAAGCAATAGGGTGCATGCGGGTATATAATCTGTGTGAGCCAATGGGGCCCACAAGTATTACGAGAGGCTGGCGCTCCCCTCTCCTCTTTTTCATCTCAGCAAAAGAGGTTATCGTGAAATAAAAAAACTTCACTTACATGCATACTTCCGCTAACAACACACTCAAATACCCATGACTAGGCACGCACACGTGTGATGTAATGTTGGTGGAGCGGTTGAGAGAATTTATGTCACGGGAAAAACCAGCGGAAAATTCATTATTGAGAAATGTATTTTTTTCTCTTCTGTTCGTGTGGATTTTCTCGAGATGTGGTGGGATGATGGATTCTTTGGTAAATTAAAGTGGGGGAGAGGTGGGAGGGTTGGGGTGGAAATGAGGGGGGCTTTGGGTGGTCAGCTTATACTGAGTATTGATCGTGACGGTTTCCGTTGATGAGAAGCTACCCGTGCTCAATTGGGTATTTTTCGGGCTTGATTTTTAATTAAATGTTTACCTGAGATGGTGAATGATCAATGCAACCGCGATCTTGCGGTTGAAGGAATGGAAATTCATTCTGTTAACTGTTTATACTCTAGACCGTAAATAAAGACACCACGAGCACTCTGCAGAATGCTATTCGTTCAAAAGAACAATTGAGATCAAGTCCGATTTAATGGCTTTGAATAGGAAATAGAAACGATGAAACGTGGAAAATTATTCTACTTATCTGAACCGAGGAAGACGGGGAAGTTAGAATTTTTTAATGTTCGGGAATAATTTAAGGTGAAAACCAAGTGCAAAGTGCGAAATAAAATCTCTTAATGTTCTGATAAATTGAGGAACGATTGTAAGACTCGGTGTGATAATATTTAAAAATAGGAATCTGGGATATTGTAACATGGGTGACTCATCCCCATAATTTTTTTTTCACAAAAACTTGGAATAGAATGGATGGATATGGCAAAGGCTCACGCAAGAGTCGTTCTTCATAAAATATCCAAGTGAATTCCGTTTTTCCACACCCGATTGGGTTTGAGAAAAAAATGAATTCCGGATTCGGTGAAGGGGGATGAGATGGACGGACGCATTCTCGTTTCGAGAACGCCCGGTTGTTATCACCAAACACCCGAGATAACGGTACTCCACGTGTTTCAAACCAGACACATGAATTCGGATTGTATCGATTTTCTCCTATTACTGCCCCTCCCGCAAACTATTCAGCCGCGATGTTTGCGTTATCTGGCAAAGCTTAATAAATCTTATCGATCATACTGAGGTCATGACTAGTGACTGAATTTTCATAATTCAACAAAAGTGAATAGCAACACAGGTGAATTCACAGCCCATGAAACTATTTACTCTGGGATACGAAGTTTATGGAATTGTTGGTAAAATTTCAAGCGTATTACTAATTTATACAATTTTTCTACTCTTCTCTCACCTCCATTGGCAGTTGATTATGGAGAAAAATTTTTAAATTAGTTGATGAGTCTTAATTCTTTCCACACAACGTTTAAAATAATTATTGTGAAATCGTAACCAATTTTTAAGCATTCAACCTTTTTCGTACTACCAATGTCTCCCTAAAAAAATGTATTTGAAAGTTTGTGGAATTTAGTGAAGAAATTTAATGAATAGAATTCTCTTGCCATCGGAATGCGCAGTGGTCTGCAACAGAATATTAACAACAGTGGATATGTACCATAAACAAAGAAACTGATAAATAATTCATTATAACTGCCGAACGGTATGTTTTTCGTGATTAATTAGCTCTGAAGGGCGGAAATTCACAATCTTTGAGGTTTCATTTCCTTCGAGGAAAGTCGCACATTATACCGACCCAAAGATAAAACCAATTTTTATTTACAATATCAACAATTCCAGCGTATTTCCTGGAAGGGATTCTAATCAAAAATCGTCCATGCCAGTTGTATAAATTCGGGGAATACTCAGGCTCTCAAGGTGTCTGTTTTCCTTTGTTTGTTCTTATTTTTCGTCTTTTATTTCTCCATCTCCCCCTCGTCATTGTGTTCCCCATAGCTATTGTTTAGTGGATGAATTTCTGAGTGGTGAATCGAGGGACAAGATTCGATGTAAGAGGGTGAAACGCATCGTTACAAACGGTCGCGGAACACAAAACCACTTGGAGTATTATACGACGTTGTAATTCGATACAAGAACCCCCTTTTCTCGTCTTGTATTAGCGCCGCGTGATTGCTTCAATAGCCCAAGGCATGAGATAAGAGTCTGGTGTTTTATCTCCGATAGTTACATATCCCGGTCGTTGGGTTATGTAATGGAATGAAGTATATACGCCATTCTCACTTGAAATCTGCTTCCACGGATTTGAAGATTCCCCTTGGTCGAGACAAATCGCTTTTATCCTACAGCAGATGCGCTATTCCACGTTTTATTGACCGAATAATTCATTGATTCATTTAGGGGTGTTCCACAGATAGAAAAAATATTCATCTACAGCTCCAAAACCATGCGTCGGGAATTCTAACCTCTTATAGATATCTTGAGACTTATTCACACGTTCAACTCCCAAAGTCCAAAGAAGGAGTTATTTCGATAAAAGAGATACGCGAGACTATCGTAAAATCCTTGATTTACCTCTCTCGAGAATACCTCAATTCCTGTTATCGAAATATTTTCAAACCCGATGAAACTGATCGACAGCTTCGATAATGCAATTGAATAATTAAATTGGCAAATTGACTCGGGAAAATGATTGAAACGAGTAATTGGGTGAGGGCTTTTACGAATAATCTATTTATGATTTAACAACATGTATATTGCACGTGTGGCAATCGTAATGAATTTATTTACTTCAATAGTCACGCGATAAGATAACCAATTACTCCGAGATAACAGGTGTTGAGTGAAAAATGGCGATAGAGCGGTGGGAAAGAGGTGCGTAGTAAATGTTCAGTGAAAATGGATTATTGAGAATATCTGAGATGATTGCTTACCACGTGCTTGATTGAGATGTCTTATTGTTCTCCAGTGGTACTTCAACTTGTACTTGGGCCACGGTAACTCATAACTCGAGCGTTCACGAGAGTAAAGTGACTAAAACACAATATCCTTGGTGCTCCTCACGCACGCCAATGTGCCACAATTGGTTGTGCGCAATCGCCGTTGGCACATTGAAAAAATAGTGCCTCCCAGTATCAGGGACAACATTGACAGATTGAAATTGGGGGAGAGAGACAAGTCTGACAGTGGTGCCAGCTGATTCCCCTGGATCAATGATTCTGGGTACTCGGAAGATTCTCCTTGAGAGGAAATTTTGCCGATTTAAAATTTAGGACGACTGGGATGTTCCGTTCCTTTCCGTACGGAAACAAGAAAAAAATAGACATTTTCATCATTTTCGTATTTTATCATTACTGCAAAGTCCAGCAAAGAAAAATTCGTAGGTTGTAATTAATTAATAATTATAATTAAACCGTGTTAATCAGATGTTTAATGAACACCTTTTGAACAATTCATTAATATTTTTATGTTTTATCAGTGAATTATGAGGGAATAATAAATATTATTTGATTCATGGAGATAATGGATTGCTTCATGTGCCAGGATGAGGGCTTTGATGTACATTTGCTAACGCTAGGGGATTTCAGCGGAAAAATGGTCAGAGAACTTGGCTTCTCAACAGAAAAGGAATTTTGTGCGGGATCTGGAAAGAGGCGACTAGTTTCTAGAAATAAATTCCATCTGGGAAAGGTTTCATTAGTTTGTGAGAAACTACTGGGGCGAAGGAGGTCGACGTGAATTGCAAACGCAGGATAATATCGGACGTTTGTACTCTATGAAATACTTCACGAGACTCAATACCGATAACAAAGACCGGAAAAATGCGTCATCCAGGGACACAGAACTCTCTGTTCTTCACTACGAAATCGTTGTACATATTTACATTAACTCCCGGGTGCTCTATCCAATGCCTTTTTCAAATCATAATTCAAAATATTTTCTCAAGATAGGGACAGAGTTCCCCGTATTCGCTTTCACAAACAAAGAAACTGTTTCTAAATAAAGGGGAGTATTTCCAACTTGAGTTTTTTCTTCCCGTAGTGAAAAATTCAAAATTCAAAATTCAAACAGACGAGTAATAAGGAGGGCGGAATTCTTCTTAAAAAAAATTCAAATCTAACGAAAAATGTTACTCTGTTTAAAAAAAAAATATGATAAAAAATGTTATCAAGCGAAATGAAAGAATTAGTTATACCATTTGAATACCATTTTTTTGATATTATTGAATATATTGTTGTAGATTAGCGAATGTTATTTGGCATGTACCCAAATGCTCGTAAATGCTCGTATTCTAAGTGCTGACTATTTCCAATAGATTTCCATTTTCTCAGAGCGTCGAATGGGATATTGATTGGAGCTCGAAGTCAACTTGATAATTCTCGACAACTCGACTGAGAGTTGACACAATTCCCGTCCCGTCCAATCAATCAGAGAGGAATGGAAAGGCCCCGAGACTCAAAACTAAATGACTTGGCAACCGATGCATGCAGTTACCAGACCCAGTGATACATTTATAGAGAATCGCGTGATGAAAATTACCTGGCGAAATAACAGTCCTAAAAGAGTAACACCATGATATCGAATAGCTGTATGAGCCAAAGTAAAATTGCCGGGAGTAAATGAGAATTATTGAAATGTCCGATTACTCAACGGAATACGACGTGGAATTAAAGATCCACTTCGTGACACAGTTACTTGTACGGGCAATCCTGTTCCACGTTTTAGAGTCCAATGGTAAATATCCCTGGAGATCTCTTTGTTGGAGAAAATATCCAACCGAGTGTCTGCCGAACCCTTCCCAAGCATTTGGCCCTCACCTCTGGGTCGTACTATCCGGAGGGATAACTAGTTTCAGTTCTTCATCGGCCCCTAGCTTTCCTTCAATAAACTCCAGTGCACTCTCTGTCTTCGTTACATCCCCTTGGGAATTATCGATGGGGTGAAGAACTGGGGGGTGCACGTGTTTCCGTTCACGATGGGAAGGGCACGTGGTGCATTTGGGGAAATTCGGGGATGGAAATGCTTGATCAATAGATGTTTTACGGTTCGAGAGAGGTCTTCAATCAAAAAGGAAAATAAAAGTCTTAGGGGAGCTTGGAATCAATATTTCTTGTCATTGAAACGTTATACTTCTACTTTATGCTCAGCACAAAGAATATTCTCAGATCGAAAACTTTTTCTTCACCTTAAAATTCATTTCTTCATCCGCTAATATCGGAAGGAATAAGTCACAGTAATTTTTTTATAATTAAATACATTCAGAGTGATTTAAAAGAATGAGAATGTTCAATCCCCATATGCTTCGTTATTAGAGTGAGATTTTCAATAGAGTAGGACAAATAAATGCATAAATATAAATAAATATAATAGCTAACAATAAATAAATTCATTATCCGACGATTAACTTCGTCTGTTTAGTCTGCGAACGGTGGAATAATCGAACCGATTCCGAGAATGTTGATAATTATCTTTACAATTACAATTATCTTTATTGCTACTCATTTATCCAGTTTTAGGAATTATCCTAGGTACACCATACGCGCAATTACCTACGCGTAAATGGGTCTTTTTTTTTTCCTCTATATACTCGAATGGGGCCAGGAGAACTCGGTGCCTGCTGGTGGGTTTTGTTGCCATGGGCAACCCATTGCATCGACCGATTCTCATCCAACCCCATAAACCCGCTGGGGCAACCGTCGTAGAGCCCTTATATACCAAAAACCCTTGGATTTCGTATTACATGGAATACCGAGACGCGTTTAGGGCGCCAGTTATGTAGCGCAATGCGCCAGACTAGCCTGACAGTACCGCATAAGCCACATCATTATTTTTATAGATAATTTTTTTATTAAGATTTTATTTCCATTTGTTTATTACCATTCACTCCCACATCACGTTGTCATTTTCTTTATATAATTCTCGGGAGCATTTCCGCTCTTACCTTTCCTCCTACGCACCGCGAATGCTCAATTATCGTTTTGATTGCGCAAATACGAGACCCGCAGTCATACGGAGGAGAATAAAAAAATAAATGATGTATTTGAAATAGAGAAATGAATTACCCGGAATTTTTTATGATTATTTTTCATCGTTAAATCGCCACTTCCTGTCGGAAGTCCAGATCTAGACTGGCAAATACATTTCACGGATTTTCTCCAATTTTTCCACCAATATTTTCACTGGAAACACCAAGAAAGTAACAGGAAAGCATGTTTCTGTAATTATGGTACTTATCGTAATAATAGAAAACCGGTTGTGTCTATTTATCATGGAGGAGTGTATCCACAGAGATGGGAGAGATCCATACGAAGAAATATTCGGTAAAAATGACCGATTTTTTTCCATAATCTTATGGAGTTGTTACAGAATTCTTGTGAGTGCCCCGCATTCTCTTTTATTTAATTCTCAAAGACGAGTGCTTTCGGGAAAAACCAATCGTTATCCGATTCTTTTGTGAGTTGTACGTTGAGTGATGGAAGAGGACAGGAGAGATTGTACCGAATTGTGAGGTAAAGTGAGCTGATGTTTGACCGGTTCAACCTAAAAACCGATTGCGCTTTGGCAAACGACAGGCAGCACAACGTATACGAGACGCTGAGGAAAACTGGGACGACATGTCCAGGTGTCGGGAAAATTAAACTGACTAAATATACATTTTGGAGGCATGCTTTGATGTTGATTTTTCGAGATATAAAACTGGGACAGACACCGCTCTACATTTCGAGGCTCTTCTAATCCAAAAAACGATAAACTTCTGAAACGACTGAACTTCATGAATGTTTATGAGGTTTATGAAATTCTGTTAAATATTGCACGAGTGAAATTCGTCCCATTTCATTTCAATAGTACATCCTTTATGTAACGAACTTATCATAAATTTCAGTTGAATATTTTATAAATAGTATCGAGTCCATCCCATCGATATCGATATCGATAATGGATCATTCATGAATTTGAAAATAAAAATACATAAAAAATCAGATTAAATAAGGCGACATCCGATCCGATCGACAATCGATCGTTGATCAAATCACTGAACCCTTTTTTCATTCTACCTCAACACCGAAGATGTAATAATCACCAAACATACACATGTTTCAATGAATAATTTTGGGATTGAAACGCCGTCTCGGATTCATCGTTACAACTCATTTAAAATAAATATTGACACGAAGTGAAAGGCATGAGGAAAAACACTTGCTGCACTCGGACGTTGGCACGAAAGGTTTAGTAACCAGAAGTTTTTAAATTCTTTTCTCAAGCGCACAGATCTGGACAGCTAGGTGATATCCAGGCACGTCTCTGAAGAATCCTACAACACGAGGAAGGGGAAAGATTCGGTTATAACAGGAAAAAATCAGATGAAATCCAACCTAGGGAGCATCGACCTTTGTACACGTGGCCATGGGGACGCGTGCCCAAGGGATCATCACATTGTCCTCATTCTTGAAATTTCCAATTTTTCAGATTACACATGAGTATGTACATGTGTTATTTTTCATATTTTTCATTCTTAACATCTGGCATAATAAACTTGTGGGTTTGAATGCTTCAATAAAGAATACGTTGTTGCTTATCTCCCTTGAGGTTTTTCCGTCGTTCTCTCTCTTGTTACATTTAAAATCATTTGCGATGAAAATATCACGGACAATGGGGCGACAGCTTCTTCGGGGAGACTTCCTTTTTTTTTTTCCTTTGTATTTGGGCTATTCTTTTTCTTCTGTATTTCTGGCTCATTCTGTTTCTTCAACGGCAGGCTTTCCCTGGGGGTGCGCCAAAGCACTTTGCTTTCTCTGTCTTTCGTCACCTGGTCAGTCACCCAGTCCAGGGCCCGTTATTTTTTTTATTTCCACGATTGTTACAAACTGTCTCCATTTACCGTTAGAGTAATCCGGTGTGCATACACGGGGAAACATCAGATTTCGGAGATCATATTCCTTGATTACGGACTGCTCTGACGGGATTATTATTTATTCACGGCCCACTGAAAATTAATGCATCTCAATTTTGTCTG